GGCACGAAGTGGCAGTGCCTGCCGACTCCAAGGAGTCCCCGATCTTGATGAGGAAAGCCACCTTCGTCATCTGAATCGCTGTGGAATCATCAGGCCACCGCGCAGAGCTTTCAAACTGAAGCACAATGTCGGCAGCTTCATGGGCAATTCCGCTAGAGCTTTGAACTCGGAGCGCCGTGTATCGGAGAAGTGGGCTTGCTGGGGCCAAATGTCGAACATCCAGAGGAACTTCGTCCATGTTCCGAATGGAACTTTCCAGATCGTTGAAGGCATCGTTGATCATTTGGAAAGGAGGACTGGAGTATGCCACAATGCCGTCACCTTCGCTGCGGAGCTTTTCCTCATACTCGTCGCCGATAAACTCGAAATCCGACTCCGCGATTTTGAAATGCCGCTGGAGACTATATGCCAAGATTTGGTACACAATAGATTTTTCTGATGGCTGTTCAGACCATACAAGACTCTCCAGAATACTACCATCTTTGAAACGACGGAGCTCTGCCTTCTCTCCCCAAAAGGACCTGAACGAAGCGGCCTCTTCTTTCTCCTCAGCAGGAGGACCGTGGTCAACAACACGCGAGGCGTTATCAGCATCCAGAAGAAGGCCAACTGACAGTTTTTCGCTGGCTTTCTTGATCAAGGACTTGGAGCGAATAGACCAGGTGTCGGCACAGTGGCTGGAAAAAGAAATGAGCTTGACTCGGTCTCCAAGTGCCCTGGAGAGCACTTCATATAGCGCATTTTGTTCGCGAAGTGCTCGGAGAGTGTCGCCGTTGAAAGACTTGGGGAACGTCACGAGTCGGTCAAACTTCAATGTCGGCTCATCGACTTTCAAAATGAAGACTTTGTCAAAGTTATCTTCGCGGGATTCATTAAGCATCTTCAAAGTAGTTGCTGCTTCACGACGCAGTGTTGCATAAGACCAAGCAGTCATTTTGTAGAGGATATTCAATCCCCTGCGGCCATCATATAAAATGGGGTCTTCTCCCTGTGGGGGAGAGAGGTCGCCAGAAAAGAGGAGCAGGGGTCTCGTCAGGTCTCTTCCAGCAAGGAACTGCAGGGTTGCTTTGAAAATCTGGTAGCTACTGTATGAACGCATGAGAACAGGTTGCCCAGTCGGACCACCGCCCTCGAATAGCAAAGACATGAGTGCCGCCCATTCGAAGCCACCGAAGCCCCCGCCTTGAAAGGAGGTGTGGAAGCCCCGTTGCTGCAGCCAGGTGCGGGCTAGGATGCAAGCGTCCCGGAAGGATTCACATTTTTGAGTGGCGGAGTGTAGAGCTTTGTGGTAGAGAGAAACCGTGGCCTCTGACCGCAGGGTAGCATTATAAAACGGAGTTGGCTCTCCAATTTCCGAGTTGTCGGCAGAAGAGCCCTGGCGAACGTTGCACTTCGTTGGCAGTGTCTTTGTGATTGGGAACAGAGTGTGCTCAATTGCCGTGATGATGCGAATCTGGGGCTGGGTGGTATTCTCTTTGCCCTCGCGAGGCTCCAAAAAAATGAGAGGACGGAGGCTGTCACCGTCTTGGATTCCAAATTTGACTTCGAAACCAAGGGAGGCCATCGATTCCTGGATACCTGCAGCAAGACAGGCGATGTAATATGCCCTCTTGTGGAAGTATCGATAGTTGACGAAATCCTTCTCTTGAAAGAGCGAGCTAGGCATCGTCACCGCCAGATCAACTGCCCGAGATTCCGCGGTACGAGCACCTGTCCTCAAGGCGAGGCTTCCCACCACATTGATATTTGTTGGCTTCGCATATGACATGGTATATTTCGTGTCCTTGCCGGGTCGTGGTTCCGGCCATGGGACCACAACTCCATTGGGACTGCGCAACTCCTTTTCGACCTCGGAAATAGGCTTCGGCGGCCTTTCGGGTAGGTTTTCGATAGCATCCTTCACTTTGTGCAGTGCTTCCTGAAGCTTCGACACGCGGTTCTCGTAGTTTGGTCTGAGGCCAGATAGCAACTCGTCCATCTGAAGCTTGAAGAAGCTGGATTTGTAGAAGCCGCTAGCCATGGCGAGCTCTGCAGAGCGCTCATCTTTTGCTCGGTTCCCCGCATTGGCCTTTGTAGAATGTCCATCTTTGCGCTGGGCCGTTCCATCTGTTGATGGTTTCGACTGCATCGCTTGCGGAGCGCCGTCCTCTGGCAAAGGGCTGAGTTTCCTTCGCTTGACTGTGTGCTCCGACATGCTTGTCAGTGATTGAGGCAGGGGATCTACGCCCAGGGGGGTTGCAGGAGTGAAAAGTGAAAATCGAGCAGAACAAGAAGAAAGATCAAAGCTCAGGACGATAACTAGCGAAATTTTTTGGGGACTGATAACGGTTACGGGGTATTGTAATTATTTATTTCAAGTACTTCAAAGTTACATGACACTATGTTCATTTTTGGTGATAATTTAAGTATTTTACAAGTACCCACTGATGTATGGTATTACGCCTCCGAAATCGCAGCGGAGTCATCACTGCTCTTCCTGTTCCTCTTGCTCTAATTCTTTCTTTTTTTGTACTTTCCAAATCCAATTCTTATTTCGTTACCACCTCCCAATATCTCGCAGGATGCTGCAAACGCTAGGGGGCCCTGTGCCTCCCAACACCGACCATGTATGTCTTGCTGCCCCGCGATCTTGATCTATGTGCCCCTCCATGGACAGCTCGGAGGACATTTCACAGGATCAGTTCACTAATCCGAGCCTCTCTAGGCCGTCAGCGTGTCGCTTCCGACATGGAGATCCAACGTCGGCTATGAGGAAGGAGAGGACTGGGTTATGAGCAAGATGCAACTAGGTTATCCTCGGTTTTTCGTGCATCCCAGTATCCAAAGACTCGCCCAGGAGATCGTTCGTCGCCACGGAGACCCCAATATCGAAGCAGCCACTTTATTTGCGTCCCCGAAAACGGCGCGCATCTGCCACTCATTTATTGTATCCCGCTGTCCCGCTGACGCGGCGCCCAAAGTCCGAACCGTGAACTTCATTCCGTCCCCGCATACCGAAGCGACTTCAATCACGTCCACCTTGTCGAGTGTTATCTACCCAAAGGAATACGCCTCGGTTGCCAAACAGGTGTGGCAACATTCTGGAAACGGCATATCCAGTCGGCGCGGCGAGTTCTGTCTTGGTGCCTTGGAGGACGGCTTTTTGGTGGAAGACAAGGGCCTCTCGACTGCGGAATCGATTGCACAGCGACCCTGTAAGGGACCCCGGCGATACCAGGGCAGGGGATCTCTGAACGGCATCACACGGGGCTCCGCACACGCTGCGGGATCTGGAGATTCGCCCGCGGCAAGTAATGGGGTCCAAGAGGGACGAGAATATGGGCAGTTCATTGAAGAGCGATTCGGCCGCAACCTGAGCCCTTCGCTGACCAACCAGGCGAAGCAAGCCGTGCGGAGACGCATTGCAGGTGTGCTGACAGCCGACGTTGACCTGCCCGCGGCTCTCGAAGAGAAATCGTCCGAAGGCCGAGTGGCCGGCATTTCGGAGGATGATGTCTTCCTCTACCCCTCCGGCATGAGCTCTATCTTCAACGCTCATCAGATCATCATGGCTGCTCGGGGAGAGGAGAAGAGCGTCTGTTTCGGATTTCCATACATTGATACGCTGAAGATCCTACAGAAATGGGGTCCAGGATGTTTGTTCTACGGCAACGGATCATCTGAAGATCTTGATGACTTGGAAACTCGTCTGAAAAATGGCGAACGGTTCCTCGCACTCTTCACAGAGGCACCCGGAAACCCACTGCTGAAGACCCCGGATCTGGTCCGGATACGCTCGTTGGCGGATCGGTATGATTTCGCCGTCGTAGTCGATGAGACCGTTGGCAATTTTTTGAACATCAACGTGCTTCGGTATGCAGATATCGTGGTCAGCAGTTTGACCAAAATCTTCAGCGGAGGCAGCAATGTCATGGGAGGAAGCGCCGTTCTCAACCCATCCGGGCAATATTATCAAAGTCTGAAAGAGACATTTGCCCGCGAGTATGAAGATATCTATTGGGCGGAGGATGCTCTTTTCCTGGAGCGAAACAGCCGAGACTTTGTGTCCCGAATTGACAAGATCAATGCCACTTCCGAAGATATTACGGCCATGCTGAAAGCATCTCCGCTGGGTAAGTTCATCTTTTCTAGCTATGCATGCTTTTCTGCTAATCGAGTCATCATATACTATAGTGAAAGAAGTATACTATCCCAAGTACAGCCCTACGAGAGCCTTCTATGACAGCTTCCGCAATCCCAATGGCGGTTATGGAGGCCTCTTCTCCGTCACGTTCTACTCAACTGCTGAAGCTATCGCTTTTTACGATACTCTGGAAGTCCTGAAAGGCCCCAGCCTGGGTACAAACTTTACTTTGAGGTTCGTCGTCGAAACTGCTGCGGATTCTTTTCACTTCTTGCTAACCCACGCCAGTTCCCCGTACACTCTCTTGGCCCATTATGGCGAACTTGACTGGGTATGTACCCCCTTCCACTGCAGGCGATTTTGGAAACTAACCTCTTCTTGTAGGCAAAATCCTTCGGGGTGGAGTCGGATCTGGTTAGAACCAGCGTTGGGTTGGAGGACGTGGCCGATCTGCGCTCCAGAGTACAACGCGCCCTGGACGCCGTAGAAGCTGCCAGGAAACGAGGGGACTAGTCTGGTCTTGCCATGAGGAATAGCTCTCTGCAATTAGCATAAGCATTTCCACTATTCAAAAGGTTGTTGAGCATTCAAATTGTGTATATACAAAAACAGGTTAGTTAAAGCATCAGAGTGAACCTGGTGAATGAACAAGCATATAATTGTGGATATCCAGATCCGTAGATAATGTTAGAAACGAAGAATTAAAGATACCATCATCACGCCATCCTGCTCAAGACAGAGAGAAGGAGAGCGAAAACTGGCCGGAGCTCAGCTAACCCTTCTCTGTTGATGCGCAGGGTTCCAGCTCCATTGCCTCCTTGCTATTAAAACGCGAACGCCAGGTAGACAGAAGATCAAAGCAAACGCAGCGGAGTAGCTAAAACGAACGATCAATCACCTCGTCATTGCCCACAGCACTGGCTGTCTGGCTAGCCACTCCACCCAATTCACCGCTCCCCGTTCTCCTCAATGCCTGCCGCATTGTTTCAATATTGAGTTCCCCGCCAAAACTCGAGGAGACGGGGCTCTGGGCCGTCGGGAAGGGGCTTCCTGCACCGCGAGCTCCGTGCGGAGGGGACATTTCGGTTCCTTTGAAAGAGGTCGTAATGCTCGTTGGTGGCGATGTTCCCATCGCATGTGATGAGGCCGGTGAGCGCAATGGTGATGGGGACCGGTTTGCAGGACCGCCAGTGGAAATTGCTGGACCTGATGTATGTTGGGAGGGATCTCGACTGGCCCAGGGGTCGCCCGTTTCGGCGTGCTCGGCATTGACCACATCAGCAAAGGATATAAAGCTCAAGCGTCGCACGTCCGTCGAGTCCAGGGCCCCGTGGGCAGATGAAACTTCGTCAGCATCGGAGTGGATGTGGTCATCGATCACCGAGGATGATAGCGATTGCTCCATCGAAGACGCGCCTATAACTCCTGCGACAGCAGATTGGTGTAGACTATGTGTGACAATCTCGACAGAATCGGGATCCAGATGGTCGTCCGTAATCGCAGCCGACGATGCCTCGAGAACCGGGGGAATATAGTTTTCTGTTCGAATATGTGCAGGGATCGAAGACGGTGCTTGCGCCGGGATCATATCTTCCTGGACGCTTCGCTCAAAGATCTGGGAGGCGGGCGAGTGTATGCGAGGCGGTAGTTGAGCTGTGCATCCGGGAGACGGCGGGTGTCTTGGGGGAGTCTCAGATCAAAGGGATTTGGTGGGCGCATTCCTTCGATTGGGCTCACTGGGGATGTTGGAGATGTCGTGCCGCTGTTCGAGGCACCACCGAATGCTCCCTCAGTGCAATCCTTGTGGGCATCTTCCATTTGGATCCAGGGTGGTGGATATCCTGGCTTTGGAGCTCGAATCCGAGTTCCATCTTGAGCAGTCAGGGATTCATTTCGGTCGGGCTCAGCCAGATCATCTAGCTGAAACGTTCGGGGAGGTCGAGGCTGACCATCCACCAACGAGGGCCGCACGCTGCTTTGGGATTCGGCCATAACGACGAGAGTTGGGATACAGTCCGAGAACAATGGCTTTATTTAGTGAAGATGAAGGCCGCTGAGGGAGGTGAGAGAACAACCTAACAGAGGGCCATGACCAAAAACAGCCCGCCGATGACGTTGGAGGAGGGGAGGCTGGAAGGGCAGTAAGCTATGCGAGCCAAAGCAGTCAAGGAGGCGACATTTTGTGTGTCTTAGGGATCGATGATGACGCCGGTGTGCAGGTGATCAAACATTAGTGAGTGTCGCAGTACCCGCTACTTGGGGTCTAGCGGGCGGCTGCACAGTGGAGTAAAGTACCAGGTACTTCCCCCCAAGCACTATGCCTGATCTAGCAGGTCTCGTGACCCTTGGGAAAAACTTCAGGGCTGTTCCATCCGTTCTACGCTTCCCCGATCCCCCGGATCTCGCCCTCTCCCCCCATTCCCGGTACAGTCTTCATTTCCTCCGGTGTGTGAGATGTGTTTCACGACGGTCGCTGACCATTGCTATTTTTGATCTTCAGCCCATCCACCAATTGACCCGCCACTGGACCCCGATGGCGACCCTCATCACGGGGCCGAAACGGCCATGGCTCTCTCTGCCATTCCTCCTCCCATCATGGACAGAGTCCTTAGTCCTGGGGTCGCGGCGCCATCAGTCTTCATATCGGCGGACCAAGCAACGCCTACGCGTCAAACCCGACGCCTCCTTTGGCTCGTCCGCCGAGCACCAGGACCACATCATCTACAACCCTCCCTCCAGTGCTCCCAATGTCTACCATACGCCAACCAAGTTTCTGCCCCCGGATGATGTCCGGCGAGCGATGCGGCCCGAGGAGCCCGTGAAGCAAGATGTCGAAAGCCTTCCGGGCGTGTTCAAGAAAGTGCACGAGAAGAAATACCACCTAAGCCCGTCGGATATCCAGGAGATCCGCAAACTCCGGCTCGAGGACCCGATGAAATGGAGCCGCCACAAGCTGGCGAAACGGTTTGACTGCTCGCCCATGTTTGTTGCCATGGTCTGTGAAGCCAGCCAGCAGAAGAAGGAGATCCAGAAGCAGGTCTTGGAGGCCGTCCAATCCCGCTGGGGTGCGAAGCGACGGATGGCCAGGGAGGACCGGCAACTGCGCCGGGAGGCCTGGGGACGGGACGCGTAGGGTCTATATATTTTTTTTTCTCTTTGTAAAGAAAGACATTGTACTCTAGCTTGTGTTATGCGCCGCATCCAAATGCATACTAAACCATCCTTCTCAATTCTCGCTATTTAGCACGCAATAATAATCAATATAAGTACCTGTTCTAGTGCCGATAACTAGCCGGGTGTATCCGACTATGTACTACTTGTTTGGTTGGTGGCCGCAACTAACCATTTCACTCGGTCCATTACTAACTCACTCCCTCCAATGCCCCTCTTTGCTCTCCGCGCAACGGTCGCTCGGTCGTTTCTCCCCCGGTTTTCTCTCTGTGCTCGTGCTTCTCTCCCTCCTCGTCGCTTTTACTACGGCTATATCAGTGACTCCAAAATGGCGCCGCAGCTGGAATCCTTCTTCAAGCAGTAAGTCCATCTTCCACCACCACCTCGTCGGGCGAGAAAACTGAAACATTCGCGGGATAGAGTCGATGAATCGTCTGTCTCCTTCATCGATCGTATGTCCCTTGCATTGACCACAACTGACCCTCCACATGCGCTGATCAACCTATGATAAGGTCTGCGAAAGGCGGTTGCGATTCCTTCCGTCTCCGCGCAAGATGAGAACCGAAAGGATGTGTTCCGGGTACGGTGGCAGAGTCTTCCCCGTCGTCATGGTTTTTTTGGACTGACGCGGTCCACAGATGGCTCAATTCCTCGCTTCTGAACTAGAGGCTCTGGGCGCTGAGGTGCACCAGAGACCCCTGGGCAAGCAGCCTGGCAAGGAACACCTCGATCTCCCACCGGTGGTCATCGCCCGCTACGGCAATGACAAGAACAAGCGCACCATCCTGGTCTACGGCCACTATGATGTGCAGCCCGCCCTGAAGGAAGATGGCTGGGCCACCGAGCCCTTTGAGTTGACCATCGATGACAAGGGTCGGATGTATGGCCGCGGTAGCACGGACGACAAAGGCCCCGTTCTTGGCTGGCTCAACGTGATTGAGGCTCACCGCAAAGCCGGTGTTGAGCTGCCTGTCAATCTGCTGTGCTGCTTCGAAGGCATGGAGGAGTATGGCTCGGAGGGTCTGGATGAGTTTATCCAAGCCGAGGCCAAAAACTTTTTCAAGGATGCCGATGCCGTTTGCATTTCAGATAACTACTGGCTGGGTACTGAGAAGCCTTGCCTGACCTATGGCCTGCGCGGCTGCAACTACTACTCCGTGAGCGTCTCCGGCCCTGCTCAGGATCTCCACAGCGGTGTCTTTGGTGGCTCTGCTCACGAGCCCATGACCGATTTGATGACCGTGTTGTCGAAGCTGGTGGACCCTCAGGGCAACATTCTCATTCCGGGCATCATGGACCTGGTGGCTCCTCTGACGGAGGAGGAGAAAAAGTTGTACCCCAACATCAGCTACACCATGGACAACCTGCACGAGTCTCTGGGCAGTGAAACGGGCATCCACTCCACCAAGGAGCGCACCCTCATGGCCCGGTGGCGCTATCCGTCCCTGTCTATCCACGGCGTGGAAGGCGCCTACTCCGCCCCCGGAGCGAAGACGGTCATCCCGGCCAAGGTGATTGGCAAGTTCTCGATCCGCACCGTGCCTAACATGGAAAGCCCCGATGTGAACAAGCTCGTATTCGACCACATCAAGGCCGAGTTTGCCAAGCTTAACAGCAAGAACAAGCTGGATGTGTGGCTGCAGCACGATGGCAAGTGGTGGGTGGCCAGCCCCAAGCACTGGAACTTCACCGCCGCCAGCAAGGCCGTGGAGCAGGTCTTTGGTGTCCAGCCTGATCTGACTCGCGAGGGTGGAAGGTATGTCTGATCTTTTCTTGACGGTCCGAGTGTCGCTAATCGAGTCTACAGTATCCCGGTCACCTTGACCTTTGAGCAAGCCACAGGCAAGAACGTTCTGCTTCTCCCCATGGGCAGCTCGACTGATGCCGCGCACTCGATCAACGAGAAGCTTGACCGGAGGAACTACATTGAGGGCACCAAGCTGCTTGGAGCCTATCTGCACTACGTAGCGGAAGAGCCCATTGCATAGGCTCATTCGTTTCTGATTCTCCTAAAACAATACAGAGAGTTGTGGTCCAACCCATAATAATGCCGATGTAGTTGTAATTAGAAAACATCCCGAGTGGGTGGACGTGCTGACCGCCTTTCCTTTCTGCCACTGACGCGAAAAAGGATACCCGGACGCGCGCTCCCCGTCTCTTCACCTGGTTTTATCGATCACGGGCAAGTGAGCCCACTGCGACGGTTCAGCATGAGCTAGTTTCATTCCTATGACGGCCGATTTGCTCTTTATCTTCCTATGCCATCCTTCAAACGCGTGCAAGAGTCTGAGGACTCCGAGGACTCCTCTGCCCTATCCGATGCGATCCCTGTTCTGAATGGCGCTGCCTCCCCTCACTCGGTAGGTATGCCCTTCCCGGAAATATTCAAATGAGATCCAGTACGCTGACTGCTGCATGCGACACAGAGGAAACGGCCTCGTACATCGGAGTCGCTCACTACGTCCGAAGGAGAGGATGTCGATCTACACGCGCCCAGATTTTTGTCCGTCGCCGACGATGCGCTTACGGAAGACGAGGAAGAGCTGGAATTGCGTCAAACACAACTCATTCAGGAGAAATACTCCCACCTTGTCGACGAGGCCAACGTCCCCGCCGAGCATGGTATCCTCGAGCGCGTGGAGTGCTACAACTTCATGTGTCACGATCACTTTCACGTGGAGCTCGGGCCCCTGATCAACTTCATTGTAGGCAAAAATGGCAGTGGCAAGAGTGCTATCTTGACCGCGATCACCCTCTGTCTCGGAGGAAAGGCTTCGGCAACCAACCGTGGGCAGAGCCTCAAGAATTTTATCAAGGAGGGCAAGGAGTAAGTCCATCGATGCTGTCTCTGGTAATTCTAAGATCTGACCGAGTCTGGCTTCTTGTTAGGAACGCAACCATTATCATTCGAATCAAAAATCAAGGCGATGGTGCCTACATGCCAGACGACTATGGAAAATCCATTATCGTCGAACGCCATTTCTCCAAGAGCGGTGCAAGCGGATTCAAAATTAAGGCTGAGAATGGCCGTATAGTTTCGACCAAGAAAGCTGAGTTGGATGCTATCACCGATTACTTTTCCTTGCAGATCGACAACCCAATGAACGTGCTCTCCCAGGACATGGCCCGTCAATTTCTCAGCACGTCCAGCCCGGCGGAAAAATACAAATTCTTTGTCAAGGGCGTTCAACTGGAACAGCTGGATCAGGATTACCGATTGATCGAAGAGTCGGTTGACCAAATTGAAGAAAAACTCCGGAATAAGGCACAGGATATCAAGATCTTGGGAAATCGAAGGGATGCGGCGAAGAAAAAATTGGAAATCTCCGATCAGCATGATTCCTTGAGAGAGCGCCTCCGGCTCATCCGGGGTCAAGCGGCCTGGGCCCAGGTAGAGGAACAAGAGAGAGTATGAGGATGCATTCCCATTGTGATTGTCCGTCAGTCTGACCAAAACAGATACGAGACTCTATGAGCGAGGAGCTTTCCAAAGCGGATGTTCTGATAGCATCTGCGGAGGCTGAACTCGGTCGATTCGACGACGCGTTTCAAGATGTTGAACAGGAATCTGAAACAGCGGATGAACATGCTTCGCGAGCTGCACAAGCGCTGGAGGAAGGACAGGGAGAAAAGGACAAAATCAAAGAGAAATTAGATGAGCAGATGAATGCCCGTCATGACCTCCAGGTAATTTTCGTTCAGGGCACTCAACGTTCCTGGCAACATTGCTAACCAATTGTAGGCCGAGCAACGTCAAATCAGGGATTATGTCAAGCGAGCAGACATCCAAGTCCAAGACGCACAGCAAAAGATTGACGACGAGAACCAACGTCTTGCTGATGCGAGCGGTGGGAGCTATGCTCGGAAGCAAGAGGAGTGTGAACAAGCAGCAAACGACGCTGCATCTGCTCGGCGTGAATATGACGAGCATCGCAATGGTGTTGACCAGATACGCGAAGATCTTCAAACTGCTGAGAAGGAAGCAGAGTTGGCGAGGAAGCCTCTTGAACGGAAAAGGAATGATATTGAGCAGGCAGAGACCCGTCTCAGAGCCCTCTCGAGAGAGGACGGACGAACTCAATCCGGTTTCCATGAAAGGATGCCTATGCTTCTGAGAGCCATTCAACAGCAAGAACGATCGTTCGCTACACGTCCAGTCGGCCCAATCGGTCATCACGTTACGTTGCTCAAACCGAAGTGGTCATCGATTTTGGAACATTCTTTCGGTGCTACACTCGGCAGTTTCATCGTGACTTCGAAGCAAGACATGAATCTTCTTTCCAGCATCATGCAACGGGTGAACTGGTAAGCATACAAATATCCTGGTCCTACTCTATATGAGAGCATGTCTAGTCTGACAAGAATTTACGGCAGCCAATGTCCAATTCTCATTGGGCGGGGCGGTCACCTCGATACATCTGCCCACGAACCGGACCCTGAATATGATACTGCCTTGCGGGTTCTCCAAGTAAGAAGTTTATATGGCTGAAATATCGCGAGCTTGCTAACACCCTGCAGATTGATAACGAATTAGTACGCCGACAGTTGATTATCAACCACGGAATAGAGCAAATGCTGTTGATTGAGAGCTTAGATGAAGCGACCTCTGTGCTCTTCGATGGCCAGCGCCCAAGGAACGTGAAACGATGCTTTTGCATCGATGCAAAAGATCGCCGCCGAGGAATGCATCTCTCATACACCCGAGCTGGCGAACCAACCCAGTCTCCCGTACCCATGTATCGTGGCAATCCCCGGATGAAATCGGACCTCGCCTCCCAAATCAGGTAAAATATCCAGTCGACATGAATTTTTACATTGCGCTCAATATACTAACCCGTTTTCGACTTACAGTGTGCAGAATGAAGTGGTCCAAGACCTCAAGCGTGAAGCGAACGAGCTGGAACAACAATTGCGATCAGCTCGTGCCCGAGTCGAGGCTTGTAAGCAGGCGCAGATAAGGCATGGAAGGAGGGAGAAAGAGTTGCAAATCAATATGCAGAGAATGGAAGACCATGCAGAAGCCCTCAAAGATGCCCTAGACAAAGAAAATGTCGAAGATGGGCATATTGATGCGCTTCACGCAGCCCTGAGGGAAGCTGAACACGAGAAGCGGATTAACGAGGGGTCCTACCAGGATAGCGTTGCGGCCATGAGCGCAATGATGCAGACCCTGAAGGAGATTCGGCGAGAATTGCAGGCCAAGGATGGCGAACTCTCAGAGCTGCAAGAAAATTCTCGAGTGGCTGAGAGTGAGAAGGCGCGCGTGGCTGACAAGCGCCGTAAGATTCTCAGCGACAAGAATGCTGCCGTTGAACGCATCAATGGTGATAAGCGTGACAGAGCGCGGATCCACGAAAAGCGCGAACAGCTCGCTGCACGAGTTGTCGATTACAATGAAAAGGCCAGCATGGTCTGCGCTCGCGTTCCTGTCGATGAAAGAGAAACTCCGGCGAGCTTGGACTTGAAACTGGAGACATTGAATCGGGATCTCCAGCGGTACAATCAACAGTATGATTTTTTGATCCTAGCAGCCTCCGGGGGGTTCGTACTTGCTAACTCCATTTAGGCTTGGGGCATCACGAGATGAGATCGCTGCGGAAGCTGGCAGAACAGAATCTGCTTACCTGCGGGCCAAGAAACAGGTGGAGGAATTGACAGCACTGGCTCAGGTATGTTCCGGCAACTTTGTGATTCTCTTTGTCTAACGCATTCTTGTCCAGATGTTCAAAGACACCCTGGAGAATCGGAAGAAGCGGTGGGAGATCTTCCGGTCTCACATCTCTTCTCGGGCCAAAGCTCAATTCACATATCTTCTGAGCGAGCGAAGCTTCCGTGGTCGGCTTCTCGCAGATCATACCGGCAAACTCTTGGATTTGCAAGTGGAACCCGATATCACCAAGGACGATGCCACGGGCCGTGGCGCTAAAACACTATCTGGGGGTGAAAAGTCGTTTTCCCAAGTGTGTCTTCTGCTAGCCCTTTGGGAAGCCATGGGATCACCCATCCGCTGCCTCGATGAGTTGTACGTCCCCGAGTCGCTTCCAGTTTCCCTTCTGAGCCTTCTTACTAACTTGTGTAAACAGCGATGTGTATATGGACCATATCAACAGAAGGATGGCCATTGACATGCTTATGATTGCAGCCCGACGGTCAATCGGACGACAGTTCATTCTCATCACCCCTGGAACGAAGACCGACATCACCATCGCTCCGGATGTCCGGGTGAAAGAGTTGGCAGAGCCCGAGCGCGGCCAAACCGCGCTATCGTTCCGGCGATGAGCTTGATCTAGCAGGGCAATCGTTTGAGTTTGATTTTCAGCGCAATAATACCCGTTTGAAGTTCACTACTACTTCCAGGCTGTAGTTAGATCTGTGTCGTAGTCATACTGCAGTATGTAGGCAATGCGGGCATTACCTAAGCGAGAGCGGCGGGGCCGGTGAAAGCGGCTTCAACTTCGCTTTTCTTTCTTCCTCCCCATCACCCTTTAGTTAGTATTCGCACAACCTCTACCTCCCGTGCCAACCAACAACCGGCCCTTCCTGTCCTCTTCATCCCTCTGCTCCCCTTGGGCTTCTTACTACCATACCTACCTGAGAGCCCGTCTCTGGCCTCTCCTGCCACTCCCACAGAAGCCTCGTTTGAGTGGCATCATACGCTTTGACGGTCTGCCTAACGTCTTGACTGCTTTTGATCTGAATCTTCAACTTCTTCGAAGCGACAGCCTACACACCCTCAATTGTCAACCGGAAACCTCTCGAGCGTCAGATACTCCTCTCCGCCGATCAATCACCACCACCCGTTCCCTCACGCAACAACTGCTGGCAACAAAAATCCAACAACCTCCTTCAATATCACCTGAGTCCAGCCTCGAAATTTCTTGCTCCTCTTCTCCACACACGGTCCGTTCGACCTCCTTGAAATCGAATTCCTTTTTGAGGTCCTCGCAAACCCTCCATCCACCCCCTGCCTCTCCCATATTCTATCACCATGGCCGACGCGCTTGCCTCCCAACTCAGTAACACCAAGCTAGGGTGAGTTGGAAACCCCCACTGGTTTTTCGTTTCTGGCGGATATTAATTCGGTCTCTAGGGAACACCCAGACGCAAAGCTTCAGGACTCCCTCAACCTACCCCCCAAAGATGCCCGACCCCAAACTGAGGTTTGTCTTACTCGGGAACAACCTGGGTACAACATGTAACTAAAAATTGTCGCAGGATGTCACTGCTACCAAGGGCCTCGAGTTCGAGGATTTCTACATCAAACGTGAACTGATGATGGGCATTTTTGAGGCTGGATTTGAGAAGCCTTCTCCCATCCAAGAAGAGACGATACCCGTTGCCCTCACGGGCAGAGATATTTTGGCTCGAGCAAAGAACGGTACAGGCAAAACAGCCGCCTTCGTCATCCCCACTCTAGAGCGCATCAATCCTAAGAGCACCAAGACTCAGGCACTCATTTTGGTACCCACGAGAGAACTTGCCCTTCAAACATCTCAAGTCTGCAAGACCCTTGGGAAACATCTCGGGATCAACGTCATGGTTACCACTGGTGGAACAGGTTTGATGGACGATATTATTCGGCTGAATGATGCTGTCCATATCCTTGTCGGAACTCCCGGTCGGGTGCTTGACTTGGCCAGCAAAGGTGTTGCCGACCTGTCGGAGTGCCCAACCTTTGTCATGGATGAGGCAGACAAGCTTCTGTCCCCTGAGTTCACACCAGTCATCGAGCAACTTTTATCGTTCCACCCCAAGGATCGCCAGGTCATGCTCTTCAGCGCTACATTCCCCATGATTGTGAAGTCCTTCAAGGACAAGCACATGCGCAACCCTTATGAGATCAACCTGATGGACGAACTCACTCTGCGGGGTATCACTCAGTACTATGCCTTCGTTGAGGAGAAGCAAAAGGTTCATTGCCTCAACACCCTTTTCTCCAAGCTCCAGATCAACCAATCGATCATTTTCTGCAACTCGACCAATCGTGTGGAGCTTTTGGCCAAAAAGATCACGGAACTGGGTTATTCGTGCTTCTATTCTCATGCGCGAATGCTCCAGCAGCACCGCAACCGTGTCTTCCACGATTTCCGAAACGGCGTGTGCCGCAATCTGGTCTGTTCGGACTTGCTTACCCGTGGTATTGATATCCAAGCTGTCAACGTTGTCATCAACTTCGACTTCCCCAAGAACGCCGAGACCTACCTCCACCGTATTGGTCGCTCTGGTCGCTTTGGTCACTTGGGTCTGGCCATTAACCTCATCAACTGGGATGATCGATTCAACTTGTACAAGATTGAGCAGGAACTGGGTACTGAAATCCAGCCCATCCCTCAAAACATTGACAAGAAGCTGTACGTGTATGATTCCCCGGAGAACATCCCGCGCCCGATCTCCAATCCCGCGGGGCAAGATCCAGCACCCAGCAATGGAGACCGTCAGCCTCGTCGTCAGAACCACCATTCCAATGGCGGACAGTATTACAACCGGGGCCGAGGCAACTATCGCGGCGGCCGGGGGCAAGGCCAACGTCGTGGCGGACACAACGACCCCAACAAAGCGGCTTTTGCTCAAGGTCAGCCAGGCGGTAAGCCGCAGGCGCCCCTCTCCTAAAGCTGCCCCAATTCGAATTGGGTCTTGCGGATTCATCTTCCCAACCCCGAAATGGTTTACGCAGCGGTTGTTCTTGTTCTGATCATGCTTTGATATGTTGTCGTTCTTGCGGTCCTGATGTCTTTTGATTTTCCATCTCGTTCCTTTATTCTGCTGTTTACAGCAGCCTTGTTGCATTGATTTGAGCTCCGAGTTCTTCGTTTGCGGGCATGGAGTCCACTGTCTCGCTATGACCCTGCGATCTCCTCTCTGGTCACGATGCTACACTGTCGGTTATGTGTATCATATTCCCTCCTCCTTTTGTCTTCCATCCTTTTCATGGTTCCGGTTGGTTCATACACTGCCACGGTCACGTTGGGGTTTGGGTGCAAGATTGTTGCATTTTTTTTCGGCGCCGTGGGTGCTCCACGCTCCTTCTCGCCGTCCCACATGGGTGTACATATGCCGATATCGCGCGGCTGTGGCCCGACGGTGTGAAGGACGGATGGCGTTCTGCAGAAGTATCGGTTGATTCTTGGGCGTTCTGTGGAGTCTCGCCAGTGGCTCATATATGATCTGATGCGACTTTCCTCGGCTGGTTTCATTTTTTCTATTCCCCCAATGTTTTTTCAGCGTGTGCCTTCTGGTTTCACTCAGCACACTGCATGATCTCGCCTCACGATTCCCACAACGACTGATACACGCATGCGCTGGCTTCTCGGTGCATTGGCAGTGTTGTCTCTATCCGCGCTTTACTGATTATTCCCGACATCGACTCTACCCTCGATTCTATTTACGCCTATCCTCTACCTTGACAGATATGGTCCACCTATTTCTAATGAGGCTATCCAACATGTTGAGATTATGGGTGGGATCAAGAGTCGACATCCCCCTTGTCGATGAGGACCAACAAAACACCGAACAAAAGAAAAAAACCCCCCTAAAAAAAATTTCAGAGGAGCACTGGATGTAACCCCTTAGCTAGTTAGCTTTGCGTCTTGTGAAATGCCAAAGAGTCCCTCTGATCTGCTTCCGCCCGAAGTCAAGTAGAAAAGCTGCGCAAGTAGGCCTTCTCCCCGCCCGTACTTTCTTTCGTCTTTCAACTCTCCCGGAGGTCCAGCGATATCGGCATTACTCACCCTCACAATGGCGACCACAACCAAGGACCCCAAGTCAAAGGTGCGCATATTAATATCTCCATGCTGAGAATCCCTGCTAAACAAGGGACAGCCCAGCAGCTTGCGGTCCATCCTCGCAGGCTCGACCGCGGGGGCTGTGGAGATCGGTAAGGAGCCCCAAAAACCCCGGGCACAATTGACGTGTGCTGACCTTGCTTCGCAGCAATCACATATCCGGCTGAGTGTATGCTCGTCCCTGTAGTGTGACCCTTTCGACCTGTTCCCGGCTTAATTGAGACACTCTAGTTGCGAAAACACGGACACAGCTCAATCGCCGACTAGCGGAAGGCCAGAAGCTCCCATGGCCGCCGTTTGGAAAGCAGTGGTATGCAGGATGCACGACCTTGATTATTGGGAATTCTTTGAAGGCGGGGATTCGTAAGTCTTCTCGTCTGGAGCCGTCGAGCAGCTGGTGGGATCTCACGCTGACATCGATCTCTCTATTTTCCCAGGATTCGTCGCGTTCGACTCCATTAAAGCGCTTCTTCAGGATGAGAATGGCAAGATTTCCGGTCCAAAGACTGTCGTGGCTGGGTTTGGTGCGGGATTCACCGAGTCTCTGCTAGCTGTCACTCCGTTCGAGAGTATCAAAACTCAGCTGTCCGTGTTACCTGGTCGTGGAATGGTCATTGAAAGGCTGACAATGTATGGCACACTTCAGGATTGATGATCGCAAGTCCGCAAAGCCTCGAATGCACGGTTTCCTGCACGGTAGCAAGATTATTTGGCAAGAACGGGGAATCCGGGGCTTTTTCCAGGGCTTTGTACCCACCACGGCACGACAAGCTGCAAACTCGGCGACCAGATTCACCAGCTATACGACCCTCAAGCAAATTGCGGAGGGCTATGTGGCGCCGGGTGAGAAACTGGGAACCGTGAGCACATTTGCAATTGGCGGAGTAGCCGGTCTCATCACTGTGTATGTCATGCCCTTCGGAATCGGTCTGACCTGGATTGGACTAACATGGAATGACCGAATAACAGCTATGTGACACAACCACTGGATACGGTCAAGACAAGGTTGGTTGAGAAAGCCCTTGACGCCATCAGAGGATACTGAACCCCTTGAACAGAATGCAATCGCTCGAAGCCAGTAAGAATTACAAGAACAGTTTCGTCTGCGCGGCAAGGATTTTCAAGGATGAAGGGATCTTGACCTTTTGGTCTGGGGCCGTGCCACGCTTGGCACGGCTGATCCTGAGCGGAGGAATTGTGTTTACTATGTTCGTCTCCTGGCACTGTCTGGGTCTGTCCCGTTGGCTAATTGGATGCAACAGGTACGAGAAGAGTATGGAGTTGCTGGACGTGGCGGATCCAGAGCGGAAATACATCTGAGATGGGTTTGCTTTTCAACAAAGAGTGTTCGATATACAATACATGGTATTCCTGTTCTTATACAATCATTTCTGCTGCTGCTTGGTCTGCTCCTCGACCACCATCGCCTCGACCTCGCGATCAGTCAGCCAAGTGCGCACGCTGTCCATCACAGTCTCCAGGCCGTCGCCTCCATCCATTACGTTGTCCAGATTGTGGATGGTGATGCCACTGCGATGGTCTGTGCAGCGAGCTTGGTTAAAGTTATATGTCCGGATCTTGTCGCCGCGACCCATCTTGGCCACTCCACCCATTGCACCTCTTCGAAGGACCATTATTTCCTGCTCCCGGGCTTCCTGTCGAGCTTCAGCGATCTTTGCGCGCAACACCTGCCAAGCTTTTTTGCGATTCGCCTGCTGGGACCGTGAATCCTGCATAGAGACCACGGTTCCCGTTGGAATATGGGTGAGCCGAATGGCCGATTCGGTCTTGTTCACGTGTTGTCCGCCAGCACCACTGGCTCTCATCTTCTCCGTACGAACCTCTTGCGGGTCGATATAGTAGTCACTGTTCGGGTCCTCGAAATTCAAGGCACTGTCCGTGCTACTCCCGTCTTCGGGAAAGCTGGGCAGGACCAGTACGCTGACGGCGCTGGTGTGAGTGCGGCCCTTGGCTTCGGTGGCAGGCACTCGTTGCACTCGGTGGACCCCCGTTTCGGTCCGTAATAGGTCATATGCCCCCTCGGTCTCGACCTCTATCACACCCTCTGCCAAACGGTCCTCGCCCGTGCTGCTATCACTATCTTGCTTGATGATGGTCGGTCGAAGGCCCCGTCGAGAGCAGAGAGCCATGTACATTCGTAACATCTCAAAAGCAAAGAGGCCTGCCTCGTCGCCGCCAGCGCCGGGTCGGATTTCCAGCAGGCAAGGGAGGTCCGCAAATGGGTGTCGGGGGATCAATGACTGTTTCAATCGGTCGGAGATCGTGAGTAACGAGGCCTTGCTGCTCTCCAGGTCTTCTATCGCCAACGAGTGCAGCTCCGTGTCGGTGTCCGGATCGTTTAGTAGAGATTTGAGTTCGGTAATTGACTAGGAATGTCAGCTATACCAACGAAGCTCTCAATCGTAGAGAGAACGCACTTCATTCGCCGTGTCCCATTCTCGTAGGACACTTGCGACTGGACCTAGCTCGCCGGCACGCTTTGCGGCTTTCGCATCAAAAGTCTCGCCCAGGCGATCCGAGAGCTGCGCATGTTCGGCTGCAAGGAAGCGAGCGCGGGTGAGTAGAGCCGGAGACAGACCGGGATCATCTGGTGCGGTAGTTATCCAGTGTGAGTGAGTTGACTAACTAACGGTGAGGCGAGATAAATATACCGGTGTGCAGAGCAGCCCGCTGGCGGGGCAGTCGAGGCCCGAGTCTAGTGGACCGCAGCAGACATCGAGCGCATATTGACAGCATGCTTTAGCTGGTGAACCAAATTGCCCAGTCGCGCGACTTGACTATCGGAGTCACGTGGACGGTTCATTATGAGGTATGCGTCTTTCGGGTTCTATTACCAGGCACGGGGCGGCAGCGTGGTAAATTACGTACGCCTGTGTAAAGGCCAGACTGGAGGCGATACTAAGGCCGCATTCCCTCGTCCAACCGATCATTGTCTCCCTTCCACCTCGAATCGCAGGGCCACTCGCTCGACTAGGTGCATAGTATGCTCTTCTCTCCCTAGCATTCATTGTCTCTGCCTATACTTGTGTATTCGACCCATCTGCCTTCAATTCATCGCCATGCGCTTCTCGCTGGAGTCCCTCACGGCCTTACTGGCCTGTGTCTCCGCCAGCTATGCCCTTCAGTCGTCGCCAATAGAACCGGACACACCGGTGTCCGAGCTGATATCCTCGGCAAAAGCCCATCTGGCGAACGGTTCGCCTCGCGAGGCCTTGCCATACTTCGATGCAGCGATCTCGCGGGATCCAACCAACTATATTACCCTTTTCCAGCGAGGCGCAACCTATCTGTCCGTTGGCAAGAACTCTCAGGCTTCCGATGATTTTGATCGGGTCTTGGAGCTCAAGCCGGACTTTGAGAGTGCGCTTATGCAACGATCTCGCCTCAAGGCACGGTCCGCGCATTGGGAGGATGCCCTGCGTGATCTCGAACGCGCTGGGAAACAGTCTTCGACGGAATATCAGGAACTACAGGTGGCGCAGAAGGCTGCGGGTCTGGCTTTCGACGCTGAGAAAAAGGGTGACTGGGAGACTTGTGTCGGACAGGCTAATGAGGCCATCATGAAGGCCAACACAGCCCTGGCCCTACGACAGACGCGGGCACACTGTCGTTTTGAGAGAGGCGATGTGGAAGAAGGCGTTAGCGACCTCGCTCATGTCCTACAAATATCCCCCGGTTCGGTGGAGCCGCATCTACAGATGTCGTCCATGCTGTTCTACTCGTTGGGTGACAGTGAGCGTGGTCTCGCACAAATCCGCAGATGTCTTCACTCAGACCCAGACTCAAAATCTTGTAGTCGCCTTTACAAGAGGGAACGGAAACTTGCGAAGAGCTTGGAGAAACTACACGACTACCTGGGAGCACGCAAGTTCAACAACGCGGTGAATATCATGGTGGGATCCGGTGACGATAAGGGCCTGATCGCCGACGTCAAGGCCGATGTCGCGGAGAGGAAAGAGGCTGGTCATATTCACCCGGCTGCGTCCAATAATCTGTACATCTTCCTCGTCGAGAAGACGTGTGAAGCTTATCGCGAGGTTCGTGGATATCCCCTCATGTCCCACTGGTCTCTTTACTAACTCTGGTGGATGATCAGATGCGCTTGACCAAGAAGGCTGGCCCTTACTGCACAGAATCGCTGCAACTCGTCCCCCACTCTCTTCATGGACTCTTGTTCCAGGCCCAGACCGAACTCAATGAAGACCGATTCGAGGACGCCATTCGCACCCTGAATACGGCCAAGGAACACCATGGTCAATCCCAGGATGTTCAGAGTCTATTGCAAAAAGCACACACGTTGCTGAAGCGCTCGAAACAGAAGGATTACTACAAGGTCTTGGGCGTGAGCCGGGATGCTGACGAACGAACGATCAAAAAGGCCTATCGCCAGCTGACGAAGCAACACCATCCCGACAAGGCTCGGTCGCAGGGGATCACCAAGGAGGATGCGGAGAAGAAGATGGCGTCCATCAATGAGGCTTACGAAGTCCTGAGCGACCCTGAGCTGCGCACGCGGTTCGACAACGGCGACGACCCGAACGACCCCGAGGCCCAACGCAGCAATCCATTCCAAGGCAGCCCCTTCGGGCCCGGTGGCGGGCAGCAATTCTTCTTCCAGCAAGGTGGTCAACAGTTCAAGTTCTCAGGTGGCGGCTTCCCCGGTGGAGGAGGTTTCCCCTTCCGCTGATTCTTGTCTGGTCTCGTCATATCATTGACAACTGGATCTTTTTACATGCATATTCTTGTAGAACATATCGAGGTGTTTGAGAGCGTTTTTCATGGTTCGCGACGTGATATCATTTTGCTCATTTTGCTCATTGTGCTTGGGATCATTTCATTCTTTTGGGGCGATAGCTAATTCACCAATGAATTATCCGTCCTCTTCGTGCTCCATTGCTTCGTATCTTCTCATAACAGCCACGCTTGTCTTGCGATCATGTCCGTGGCGCGTCCGTCAGCGGCACATACCTGACTTGAAAGACCTTCTCCTTGTGCACCGTCCCGTCCTCCTTCTTATCGACGACCCAGATGTACTGGCCAGCGCCGAGACCCAGGGCGCTCAGTGTGCCACCATCATCATCTGACCCGACGGGGATAAACAGCCTGCCCGGCGCCCGGAGCTGCTCGATCAGCACGGGATGGAGCTTCTCGGCCGCCGCGCCGACATGAATAGCGTCGTAGGGCGCTCCCTCCTTCCAGCCGAGACGGCCGTCCGCAGTGATGAACTGCACCTTGCCCGAGTCCAGCAGATGGCGGCCTTGGTCTGACTTGTTCATGTTCTTGCGCGCCGTGTCTACCAGCTCGGGGATGTGGTCGATCCCCACGACCTGCCCCTCGCCCCGGCCAGAAGTACCCAGAACTAGGTTGGCGAATACATGGGTCAGGTATCCGGAGCCGGACCCAATGTCCAGGACGCGCGCACCGGGTTTCAGGTAGTCTACAAGATACTCACAGGCGTGTCCGTGCATGTGCGGCGCGGATATGGTCGCGCCGTGGCCAATGGGCTGCGGCGAGTCCGCGTAGGGGTGCGAGGGCGCGTAGTGTGCGCGGTCAACCTTGGGAGCCCTGGGGTTAGAGACGCCAGTGGGTACAGTCGTCAGTTGATGCTCACGCCGATCATGGCCTCCTTCACTCGCTCGTTCTTGATCAAGCCGCCCTTGAACAGGTTCTCGACCAGCTCGGTGTTGGTCGACCCGGAGCAGTACCACGCCATGTTGCTAACTCTTCGTGAAGCTCGATTCCACGTAAACAAAGTGATCCTGTGCAATGCTTTCCGCATAGGGAGATGCAGAGGCGAAGAAGGGACGAGAGCAGTGCATGACGCCATATCGACTTCGTGGGCTGCACGTGACTTTGTGCTTTATCTGGTATGTAGTTAAGTCTATTATTATTTGTTTGGATTTTTTGCGATGTCGTGGACACGCGCGTAGTCGGCCCATTGGGTGGGTTGGAGTGTTGGTTGTGGAATCGTCGGACTATATTCCCGATATATATATTCTGGGAGGCTTCCTTGTTGATCCTCCACGTCCCCCACTTCCCTATCACCTCTCACCTCCCACCACACCATGGAGGCCGACGCGAAGACCCGGGCCGATGTGGACGGCATGATACTCGACTACCTGGTCTGCATCACCATTGACGCCCTGCTCTCGCAACCCCGCCGACCGGAGCAGGATGTGAACTGGCTGGTGGACGCGGTGCGAGGTATGGAGCGACGGGAAGAAAACAAACCCTATCCCAATCCACGCTGACTGACTCACTGCCAGCCTTGGAGTCGACCATCTCGACTCAACCTGACCCAGATCTGGCCATTAAATTACGACTCTTCTCCGTGGCAGACCTGCATCGTCGCTACATCGCGGCAGCACAGCGCGGCTCGCACGAAGAAACCCGCCCCTCGCTGGCCCTAATCGGGACCGAATTTATGAATCTCTGCCTCGCGGCATCACACAAAGTCTCAGAATCACGCTGGTTCGATATGGGCTCCCGGTTGATCAGCCAAGCTAAGCTGGACGAAGGTCGCACACCTGCGCTTCTGACTTTCAAGAATTGGGCCTCTGGGGAGCCCACCATCGACTCCCAGTGGAAGAGAAAATACACCAAATATGCTGGTACGCGGCTTACTCTCACCGAACTCGATGGCATTGTTCTGGAGTTCTTCTCCGATCTCATGGCTACCCTGGACGCGCCCATTCTCCTCCAGCTCGAGCGGGGGAAGCTGGGAAATCTGAGCCGAGCGGAAACCCAAGAGCTTAAAGCGCGGGTGGGAATGCGATAGACCCAAGCCGACTGTGTCAATTCTCCGAATCGCAGGATCTTGCAAGATGACCTGCTTACTCGTGCCGCGTCTCATCGCAGCGACCATTTCGCCAACCACAAAGCACATAGTCGAGTCCAGCGGACCAGCCTAGCCCACGCGGCCCTAGGGGCCCAATGCGACTGAAACTGGCAGCGGCAGGTGCGATTGCTCCCGCCATGTGTCCACGTCGGCCAGACGAGAAGGATGGATAATAGAATGGGCCAGTTGCTAACGGATGCTGCACCATTGACTGTGGATTATCTACGAAGAATTCAGGCAAGGGACAGTCCAGACAAAAGAACCCCAGCTAATGCAGCTGCCCTTGAACAGGCACTTATATTGTGAAATCTGATAATTTACATGATGCGCAAATGACTGCACAAAGACGCGGATACAACGGGGGCACGACTCACGCCTACCCAAGCAGCATGCGCCGCGGGTCCTCGATGTATTCCTTGATCTTGACCAGGAAAGTCACAGCCTCACGGCCGTCTAGGAGACGGTGATCGTATGTGAGGGCCAGGTACATCATCGGGCGGATCTCGACCTTCCCATTCACGGCCACCGGCTTATCCTTAATGGCGTGGAGACCCAGAACGGCTGCGAGGAGCGTTAATTAGAGATCAAGTATATGGAGGATGGGAATGAACTCACCAGTCTGGGGCAGGTTGATGATGGGAGTGCCCATCAGGGAGCCAAAGACACCACCCTAGTTCAGTTAGAATATATGTGGCATACAAGGGTTCCGTATAATCTACTCACGTTGCTGATGGTGAACGTGCCACCGGCCATATCCTCAATGGTCAACTTGTTGTCGCGAGCCTGTACAGACACTTGTTAGGAAACGAGGCCTCATGGAAGCGGCGAGGAGTGGCTTACCTTCTTGCCCAGGTCGGCGATCGCTTTCTCAATACCAACCAGGTCCATGCTCTCCGTGTTGCGCACGACAGGCGTCACAAGGCCCTTCTCGGTGGCGACAGCAACGCTAATGTCGACATAATCCCGGTAAACAATGGTGTCACCGCCATTGGGGCCCTCAATCGAGGCATTGACTGCAGGGACATCCTTCATGGCCAAGACACAAGCGCGGGAGAAGGCGCTCATGAATCCCAGCTTCACTCCGGTCTTCTTGAGCACGTCATCCTTGTAGAGCTTGCGGAACTCCATCAGAGACGACATGTCCACTTCATTGAACGTGGTGAGGGACGCTGCAGTGTTCTGGGACTGCTTCAGGCGCTCGGCAATCCGCAGGCGCATCCGGTTCATCTTGACGCGGCGCTCTTCACGGCTGCCAAACGCAGGCGTGGACTCGGTAGCACCCTGCGACTTGGGGGCTTCCGACTTGGCCGGCTTGGGCTTCTCTGCAGGGGCCGGCTTCGACGCCTGTGGTTCCTTGGACTTCTCGGGCTCCGCGGGCTTGGCCTGCTCCTTTGGCGCCTGGGGCTTCTCAGCCGCGGGCTCCGCGGGCTCCGCGGGCTTCTCAGCACCCTCATCCTTCTTCTCGGGAGGAGCGCCGCCCAATTCCAACTTGACGATATCCTGTCCGACCGTGACGGTGTCTTCCTCACTCACAAGGAACTCCTTGATCGTACCAGACTCCGGGGCGTTGACCGCAACGTCAATCTAACAAGCAAGAAACGAGATGTTAGGGGGAAAGTGTTATTGGGATTGTGGATGTAAACAGGACATACCTTGTCAGTCTCAATGGTGGCGATTTCCTCATCGCGTTCCACGAAGTCACCAATTTCTGGATGAAATTAGTATAGTAAGGCAATCAGAGTGTAGAGGAGTTGTACGTTTTGAGAACTGCTTCAGGGTACCCTCTGTGATCGACTCGGCCATCTGCGGGACCTTGACGATGGAGTCGGCTGGTGCGTATAACATTAGCACCCATTGCTCGGCATAGGGATGGAGACGCAATGTGTTTACCATAGGTCCGGACCTGGTGAGCGCCCAGCGGCGCGAGAGCAAGTCGGGCATTGATGCTATTATTGTCCACACGTCAATCATTGCGCCCGACACAGCTGAATGGCGGAAGTTTTCTTACCCCGATGACGACACCTGGAGCAAACCGGAAGATTTGGACGAGACATTGAGGGCCGATCTTTGCGAAGTGAAAGTCGACAGGCCCTTGAGATTGCAGCGAAGCTGGCCAGGAGCTCGGGGAGCCCTGGACACGGCAGTAAGGCGCTGGCCGGACAGGCGGCACACGGGCAATCGAGAAGCCATGGTGGAAGGCAAAACAAGAAGAAGAGAGCGCAAGCAGGGAACAAGGAACTCAGGGAAGGACAATGGATCCCTATTTATGGTAGGGTGTAGAAGTCAAAGTAACAAGCTGGCCGGGCCGAAAGTACCGGGAAATCCCTTGGGTTTGGGAGGATTACAGATTCTCTCTCGCCCGGCAACGACGCACGGAGTCAGCGGGATACGGCGGGCGGAAAGACCACCTGCGCAGTTTTCCCACCACGAATGTAGCATCTGTCGGTTGGTCCCCATTTCCCCATCCACCACCACCACCACCGCCATTCTGAAGAGTGCATTCTCGGTGTCAATTGCACCTCTCGCCCGCACATTGCTCACCAATCGCTCAGCACAACACATCATGTCCACCGCCGCTGTGAGGTGCGCCACTCGTCCTTTCCTCCGGCCTTTCCGACGGACTAGCCCGATCCTGACATTTCTCACGATATAGGTCACTCTACCGGCGGTCATTGAAGCTGGCACTGGACTGGGCTGTCCATCGCCAGGTGTGGCGGGGGCAGGCGGTCTACATCCGGAGCCTCTTCGAGGCAAACAAGGATATTCGCGATCCCCGACAGCAGCAGGTGCGCAGACCCCCCAATAAATGCTTTCTACGAGCCACCTTCTGACTGATAGAATGTGCAGGTTCTATTGCGTGAGACCGAGAAACTGCTGCAGAGCTGGAAGCACCCCGATCCCTATCGGGCCCCGACAGCCCCTGGTGGTATGTCCCTGATATTGGCATTACCCTCTGTGTGGACCCGCATCAATAACACTGGCTACAGGAAACAAATGGGAGCGGAATCTGCCGGCTCGTATTCTACCATGTACGCTGATCTTCTCATTTGGTGGAGGTACATACTGACTGATCTAGATGCCGAGAGCCCGGGGGCTCACTGATGGGAGGAGTCGATTTTTGGGGTGGTGTGTGTATATGTACTAGCAAATGCTGAACTACCAGGCGCGTCGAATTGTTTATCTCGGCTATTGTTCTGACGCGTATACTGTTGAATGTTACTTTTTCTATATTCACGGCCAACGCGCCCGTTAGACTACGATCGAAACCCAAACTTTTACTGGAAGAAAAACAAGAATGATCACAGGAAGCACCAGTTATGTCGATGGACCTAGAGTCTTCATTGAGAAGGGTCTATTACCCAGGGCTAGAATCCGAAAGTTGAAATCCCTCGAACTAGCAGTTCGTCGGTATCATTCCATGTCCGTAGACATAATGTACAACCAGGAAATTGATGAAAAAGAAAACGCAGAGCCATAACGTGCCCATCCCATGAAACCCCATTATCGTGTCAATGAACCGAATCCACGCCGGAAAAGAAAACAAACAACCCGTGAAAAAGAGACCCGTTTACAGCTCCTGGCTGCCCTTGCCGGCCTTGGGGGTCTTCTTGGGGAGGAGGTCTGAAAGAAAGACGTTAGACAAAAAGAGGTGGATTTCAGGATGGAAAGGCAACATACTCTGGTGGATGTTGGGCAGAACACCACCCTGGGCAATGGTGACGTGACCCAGGAGCTTGTTCAGCTCCTCATCGTTGCGGATGGCGAGCTGGAGGTGACGGGGGATGATACGAGTCTTCTTGTTGTCACGGGCAGCGTTGCCAGCCAACTCGAGGATCTCAGCAGCCAGGTACTCAAGCACGGCCGCGAGGTAGACGGGCGCACCGGCACCGACACGCTGAGCGTAGTTGCCCTTGCGGAGCAGACGGTGAACACGGCCGACGGGGAACGCCAGACCAGCCTTGGACGAACGGCTGAAAAGTCATTGATGTCAGAATGAGGAGACCCAAACAAAAAACCATTGCACCGAGAACTTACGACTGAGCGTTCTTGCTGCCGCTGGCCTTGCCGCCGGATTTGCCTCCAGTCATTTTGATGGTTGGTGTTGGGGGGTTGGGAAAAGAGGTAGAAAGGTTGTTGTTGATAGATGGGAAGTTGGGCGAAGAGAGATGGATGAGGGATCAAGGGCAAAACAGGCGGCAGTTGGACGTGACCAGCACTTATAAGGACGAGGGGGCCACTGACGCGGTGCTGAGTCGCGGACCCAACAGATCACGGTCTCGCTTATCTCACCGACCAATCGCAGCGCGGATCACGGGCCACAATACACCGTGACCATACCAAACGCGTGATCTGGAGCGGTCGGACCCGCGTAACCCACGCAATCATACAGATCATACGCATGCCTGACGGTATTGAAATTCAGCTTCCTTTGTGGTGTTCCCAGATCACTGACCCCTCCGTATAAAGACCCGCGCCTCCCTCGTTACCGCGTTTTCTTCCCTTCCCATCTCTGTTCACTCCCACGCTCCATCCATCTCCATCCATCACTTCCTTCCAACTCCAACCCAACTCTCCCACTTTTTCAACCCACCCATCCATCTCTGTCAAAATGGCCCCCAAGGCTGCTGAGAAGAAGCCCAGCACTGGTGGCAAGGCCCCGGTTGGCGGCAAGGCTCCCGCTGAGAAGAAGGAGGCTGGCAAGAAGACTGCCACCGCTGCCTCCGGCGACAAGAAGAAGCGCGGCAAGACCCGCAAGGAGACCTACTCCAGCTACATCTACAAGGGTGAGTTTCGACGCGTTTCCTCTTGTTATGATGACGCGTTCCTGGCTGACACCTCCATCCAGTCCTCAAGCAGGTCCACCCCGACACTGGTATCTCTACTCGCGCCATGTCCATCCTGAACTCGTTCGTCAACGGTATGTTTCCCTTCTGAACGCGTCTCGTTGGCCTTATTCTGACGCGTGTCTCCAGACATCTTCGAGCGTGTTGCGACCGAGGCCTCCAAGCTCGCTGCCTACAACAAGAAGTCCACCATCTCCTCCCGGGAGATCCAGACCTCGGTGCGGCTGATTCTGCCCGGTGAGCTGGCCAAGCACGCCGTGTCGGAAGGCACCAAGGCCGTCACCAAGTACTCGTCTTCGGCCAAATAAGCGGTTGATATCCATTCGTTTTGCGGGATTGTTTGTTTTTGCTGCCTCCTGATCTATGGGCTTTACAGGCGGTCGGGTACCTGGGTGTTTTGCGGACTTTCTAATGTGTCATGGGACGGTTTCAGTTTTCTTTTCCCCAATGGGCGAAATGTTTCTTTCATGGTTACCTTGAATGCGGTGTAACATAACTCGGGTTTGGGCTGGGTTGCCACCTCCCAACTAGAACACGAAATTCCAAATGCTTGATTGCATTGCATTGATTCTCTCATACTCGTATATCTTACTCTCTAGTCTTCCATGGCATCCGAATCATCCAACACCTCCACTTCATCCAATGCCTCCCTCCGCTCCTGGCCCTGCGTCGGTGGTTTTTCCCGGGGCAAGATGTGAACAATCGGCTGCCCCGACGTTGAGCCGACACGTGTCTTCCAGTCCGTCCAATCGGCCTCGTCTTTGATCAAAAACCCGATCAGCATGCTCGGGTCCATGTCTTTGATGTGAATTCGGCGCAGCCGGCTCGTGTGATAGCTGTCCAATTCCTCTTGCGTGTATGGTTCGTCCGCCCGTCTGGGCAGCAGCGCGGGGCGCGTGAGATGAGGATCAAGGTAAAACAAGTGGTCATCTTGGACGCCTACGAAGTAATGAGATGCTGATGGGCGGCCGCTATCATTCCAGGTCAGTACTTGCTCGTGTCATCGGATGTGGCAACGTACCCTGCGATGCCAACTGATTGCGGATATTGTAGCGCCGCTCGCAGTCCATCCCGATAGACAGGCGTAACATGATCAATGCCCAGTCGAAGTCCCAAGAGGATTAGTGTGGGTTGAATAAGCCCCGCTTCGTCGCAGGCTACTTGGGTGAACTTGTCTTCGTAAACGTCGGACGTATCATTCGTTACATAGACTCTTAGCTTGGGATCTGTGCATTCACCGGAGAGTATTCTATCGCCCCTGTCAGCGATGGATGAGAATCTGTCTCTAGTTGACTTGCACGTACTGGATACACCGGGCCGTTGCGGATGGTCCAAACCATTCCCCGGGATATTTACCACATGACCTCGCGCCACACTGGACAAACTGATGTATTGAGAACGGGGAATCGGGGTGGTCGGTGAACATCGAGATCAGCTTCGATTCTCGGGCAACCTGCTCACCTCTCCGCCAGTCTGTGGTCCGCATTAGCTTCGCTTGGCTTTGAGTTAGGGGGATTATGGCTCACCTCGCCCAAGCGATAAGATGGCGAGCGTATTGGCCAGAAGGCTTTGGCCAGACCGGATCATGCAACCCCACCCAGTATCCGATGTAAACCCTTGCGAGTCCATGAGCTGACTCCGCAGGCGCACGCCCAGCGTCATCGAGGACGCTGCATCTTGTGAGCTGGACTTGGGGATGGGTGTGAAGTTAGAGCGATATGTAATCCAGATCCGTGATTCAAAATCTGTCAGAAAGGCGTCCGGCCAGGTGGTTATGGGGGGACCATTGTGAGATGTAGGTTCAGAGAGGTGTCCAGAAGCGCTGTTGCTAGTGTCTAGTGTCTGGTGGTTAAGGGACTCTTTGCGGCTATCAGTCTCTTGATCTTGTCCTAGTGATACTGCTATTGGTTCGTCTGCGGTATGTTGCGACGGAGCGTATTCTCTGCCCAGGCACCAGATCGGAGCATCGGGGGTTGCGTCATTCTTGGGCTCTGGGTCCCAGAAGTACTGTACGATGCGCTTGCACTTCTCCAGATCGACCCCGGTCATGGCTATGGTTTGGGGATGGGAGAGTGTGGAGTGTGAGGAAGAAAAAGAGTTAGTTGGGGGTGGGTGATGAGAGAAGGTGATATGCCAGCCGGTGGTGATTATATATCTCTGCGCAGCGTACACCTGACACGACAATGTGCCTAGGACGTATACATACAGTGGTCCATTTCTTTTTTTTTAAAACCATATACCAATCTATTGCTATCACCCACGCCCAACACCAATCCCGTCATTCATGCCTAGATTCCCCTTTCTTCAAACCATCTGCTGTTCTATACATACTCCGATGTCCCACCACCAGTACTGCTTCTCTCTCACCGCCCGCGATCCACCCAACTCCAATCTCCCCGAGCGGCGAATCTTTCTCTCCGTACAAAACATGGCCCGCCATGGGAAGACAAAGGCTCGCGCCAAAAGGGCGCCCAGGCCGGACCCTGGTATGAATTACTGACACCTACTCTCCTGGACTGGCCTGCTGACTATCTAAAAACCAACAGGACCATCGCCACCGCGGTTGACGATGCAGCAAGAGGCTCGCAACACCGAAACACATCATCAATGGTGGACCACCAGTCTGCGCCACAAGGCCGTCCAATTCGTGAGCGCTGGAGATCTGGAGCCAAGCGACGAGTTGAAAGACCTCAACCAGATAGCACAGACTGACCAAGCGAAGTCGGAAACGGAGCGCAGAGAGACTGAGGGCGAGCCTGAGCCGCCGACAGATGACTCCACGCCCATATTCTTCATCGACCGAACAGGCCAAAATATCGAGGATACAGGGTTCTCTGTCCCAGAACCACTGCTGGACCGGTCAGACCTGGACACGTCGAGCGAGGACGAGGTCGTGTTTCCCGGACGAAGGAAGCCCCCCCATCGCCGCCATATGCCCCCAATCGACCGGTACGAGTCGAGACCACTGGAGACGAGCTGCAGGAGTTCCTCGACACCTTCGCTGATCGACCCCTGACGTCGGCCACGCCACGGAAGGAAACTGCGCACGCAGATCAGACGCCCGATACCCATCCCACGAGCCATGCCGAGCCTAAACCAAATCAACTATGGAAACTGTACTCGCAGCAGGAGGAAGACATGATCGCCGACTACATCGCCAACATGGACAGTGATTACTGTGACGAGGACACACACTCCACGCTTCCTGAGATAGAAGGAGGTATTACCGTCGACAAAGCCACAACGCAACAAGATCTGTCAATGCAGGTCCCAACGGAACCACCTGGAAATCCCAATACCCAAACCGAAAGTGAAAGCAAAAGTGAAAGCGAGGTTCATGTTCAAAGTTCTATCGATGGTAAGCCACAAAAAACCACCTGGACGGAGAGAGTAACGAGTGATTCTGATATCGAGAAACTAGTTTTGGCAAACATGCATCTCGACCCCGACCTTGCCTCAACCGTTGTATCGGACGAAGACGAGGAAACAGCAGATGAACTAGAGGAGTCTGACCTGAACGAGGACGACGATATGGATACGGTGGACATTGACATGCTCCAGGAGCAACTGGACCGATACACCCGAGCACAAAGAAAGAAACATGGGTTCGTATCGGCAACAGCTTTCGCAGATGCGCTCGAGTCCGACCCCTACTATGGACTTGATATCATGGACTTTAATCGGCCCAGCCTACGGAAAAAGAGCAAGGGAAAGAAGCCGCTTTTTGACCTGGACATCTCCGACAGCGAACTAGAGTTCGAACTGGAGCAGGCATGGGAGAATGATCGGCGAACGAAGAAGATGAAGAAGAAGGAGCGTGAACAGCTACGAGCCGAAGGGCTGTTAGGGAGAAGCACCAAAAGTCCAGATTTGAAGGCCAAGTACCCAAAGGATATGAACATGGAGGAATTGATCACGGAGATGCGGGCGTTCCTCCTGTCGCCGAAGAGCAGGTATGTCCATATAATATCATATCCATCGCTTGTACTCGCTGATTTCCGCCCAGTCTCTCCCTGCCTCCTATGAACAAGCAGCGCCGAAAAATGGTGCACGAGCTGGCACATGTCGTGAGTCTCAAGTCCCAGTCCAAAGGCAACGGGCAGGCCCGATGTCCGATCCTTGTCAAAACTTCCCGCACCCCCGGATACACACGCAAGACCATCTCCAAAGTCGACGAACTCCTGTCCGGGCGGAAGCTCAACCGTCGGTTGTTCAAATCCTGGGGCCAGGATTCATCAAAACCATCCAAGGCCAAACGGGGAGGGGCTTCGAGTGGTCCTGGCGTTTCCTACGTGGATGGAGATGTCGTCGGTGGCTCGGCCCCCGAGATTGGAGCAGAGAATCGTGGCCGAGCCATGTTGGAGAAAATGGGATGGAGTACTGGCACCGCGCTTGGGGCCACCAACAACAAAGGCATCTTGTTGCCGGTGGCGCAGGTGGTGAAGAACACCCGAGCCGGGCTTGGCTGAGCCCACCAGAGAAGACGGCGTGGATGAACTGAGACATGTATGCATACATAATAGAGCAAGCGAATTTTCGTGACATGGGGACAGGGGCCCCGGGCTGTCCATTACCGTCTTTTCTTTCCCTTCCCACCCGTAGACTTCTTTAGCTGTGCGTGGTCGGGGAATTCCCTGATGTGTGCGAACAGTTTCGTTTTCGAGGAAAAAGTTTCATTGCAACTTGTGCATACCGATTCAGCTGACTCGGTGGACTTTTGAAGCGCTTTCTTGGCCCGTTTCTGCTTGGCTTTGCCTACCTTGGCCGGAGGCTCTGGTTCACCCAGCCCAGACGAGGACAGTTGTCGAGATAAGGTGGTCATCGAGTCTTCGGCCTCGGACGCGTCGGAGTGAAGCCTTCTCTCGACAGCTTCCCGAGACGCATAATCGGCATCATCACTGGATGAATCCTGATCCAGGGGGAGGTGTGGTGACTTAGAGGCCACATTATTCTCGTCCTCGTCCTCACGCAGACCAGGCGCTGCATCCAACTGTTCATCGGAATCCACAGATGCAATCTCCCAAGAATCGTTCACACTGGCATCAACTGCGATGGGGTGTTCATCGTTATCACTGGCCACTGTGAGCTGGGACGGAGAGACAGCGTCGTTCAAGTCCAGCTCTCGATCCTGCGCTCTCATCTCGCGGCAGAGCTGCTTCACGGCCTTTAGATGCTTCTTGCTCCGTTCATGTGCCTCAAACTGCTTCTGACTTTTGAATTGCTTGTGACATGCCACACATTCAAAGCTTTCGACTTCACCTTCGGAGCTTTCTTCTTCCTCTTCCTCGGGTTCCTCCTCCGTCCGAGCCCATTCCGGCATGACATGATCGCGCATCTTGGCCTGATTGGCCGCGCGGGACCTGGCGGCTTGGGCAGCCACGGACTGGCGTAGAGTTTCCTGGCGTTGAGCTTCGTTTTGTGCATTAATCTTGTATCGCGGATCGCGCTTCTTGACGAAGGCCACCAGAGACCGGACGGCATCGTTGAATTCGCGAATGCCCTCCTCTCGAAGTCGCTTGTTCTCCTTTTCCATTAAGCGCCGCACGCGACGATCAGGGGCCTCGGAGTAGCGGTATGCGTCCTTCCAAGCAAAGGACTTCCTGGTGGAAAACGCGCTCCAGGCAGCATAGAAGGGCCGCACTATGTCCTCAAAATCATCATCGCGGCTCCCGAAGGAGGGATAATCCACCGTGTCTTGGTTTTCCCATTGGCATGCTATCCTTTCCTCCAGTGCCAGCTGATCGAATTGCTCGCGAAGACCGCCAAAGAAGCCCGCCGAGGAATCGGAGAAGTCCATGCGCGGGCTGAATTTCGAGAAGAGCTTGAGGATATCTTCGGCGGTGGTAATGCGGACATTGTATGAGTGTTGGTCGGCCCCGGCGTCTCGGTTGGTGCCCAGGAAGGCGTCGCTGTGAGAGTCGTACCATGCTCGCTCCTGGGGATCCGCTAGCACCTCGTATGCGGACTGGATCTCGGCGAACAGTCTGGTGGCCTCCTCGACATTCCCATAGTTCCGGTCAGGATGCAGCTCGAGGGCTTTCTTTCGATAGGCCTTTTTGATCCTAACGAGCCCAGTAGATCAGTGTCTGTCCATTCATGTACTGACTGGGTTGACCTACTCGTCGTCCGTTGCCCCGGGGGTCACTCCCAGCAGCTCGTAGTAGTCGACCTTCTGGGTCTCCTGGCCGGAGACCTTTTGGCCGGTCGATTGATATTGGCCCATCGTGGGAAGAAGCAGAAGAGTTGTGTTTGTTCAACTTCGCAACTGTTAACGCACCGAAACGTTACATAAGCACCTTTACCTCACCATTGATCTTGTTCTTTCGCTCTTTCTTCCTCCGTCACTCTTACCCCTTTTCTCTCTAAAGGCATGGTTTTGTCTCTCGTTCACCTCCCAGAAGAGATCCTTCATTCCATCCTCTGCCACTCGCCTCCGGTCTCGGCCGCTGCCTTGGAACAATGCAGCCGCCGCTTCAATCATGTAACCAATGAGCCCTTACTATGGCGTCACTTCTGCCAGACTCATTATCAATTCTGGGATCGGAGGCATGACTTGGCCCGGAAATTAGCCAGCCCTGTCTCATCAGTGGACTGGAAGACGCTCTTCGTGTCAAGATACCGAGTTGACCGCTCGGTTACCCGGCTCCTCGACAGTACTCTGGCCTGCCAGACTGGGCGCATCGACAAGTTTCGGGCCGTTATTGATTATGGATATGATGCCAAAGATACCCTGTGGCGAGAGAGCCAGGTGGAAACGGGGGAGGATCATCTGGCGAGAAGGTGGGCCCGCTCTGCAATGCAACTGATATGATAACTGTTTCCTCGGTGTTGACCGGCGCTTCACGCAAGGTACTATGCTCGAGCGCTATTGACATTCCTCCATCGGAGTATTGCTGTGCCAGAATGGGCCAAACTACGGCGCGGGGAGTCGGTGTCGCTCGATCGAGCGTTGGGCTGTTTTGACCTATTTGTACCGGAGACTGGGTGTGGCGATCTGGACGAGGTGAGTACTCCCCTATTGCTTCGTGGACTTAAATCTCACAGCGACACAGATCAGAGGCTTGCTGGATGAGATTACGAAGCGATTCATCTCCTCCAATCCAGATTTCAGCCTTTTAAGCCCTCGTGACCAGGCACTGGCCATTGCATCGTGGCTGCGGACGAATGATTTCACCGGCATTGAGCCAGGGCGAGAGTATTACTCTTTGGAACATAACTTTCTTGGTTTAGCCTTGCAAAGCCCGGGACACAACTCACTTCCACTGATCTCAGCGGCGATATACTGCTACGTGGCCCAGAGGCTTCACCTGGATGCTCGTCCTTGCGGGTTCCCATTCCATGTGCATGTCATCATTCGTCCACAACCGGGGTGCGATATGGATGGTCGCACTATGGCGGAGACCGAGGAAGAAGAGCCGATGTATCTGGATCCGTTTCGGGGCGCCCGAGAGACTCCCGTTTTAGATCTACGAAACCAACTGACCTTCCTTGGGGCACCCAGCACGCACCAGCCTGCTCTTCTGGGGGATTCTCCGACCTCGGATATAATTCTGCGCTGCGGCAAAAACATCTTGAACTCGGTCTATTCAATGCCTAATTCAAACTCTCACACCACTCCCGTAGACATGGTCAGTGCCAAATATGCTGCGCTATGGTCAATCATGCTCCTCTCGGGCGATGCTCGGCGGATGGACCTCCGGCACCAATTGCCGTTGCTTATGGAAATGTTTGCCACTGATTTCCCCTCTGATATTTTTTTGGTGGAGCAGTATATCGTGCCTCTCTTTGACGGCCTCTTTGAACATGAACACATATTGGAAAGCCTTCACGTTATGCGAGCAGTGGATGAGATCCCCAAGCAGGTTCGAAAACGCAGCGCAGGGAACAAGCACATCCGATACCGAGTGGGCCAGGTATTCCGGCATCGTCGCTACCAATATCGAGCCATCATCACTGGTTGGGATTCGGAATGCGGCGCTGGAGAGCAGTGGATGAGAAGAATGGGCATTGATCGCCTCCAGGCTGGTCGGCATCAGAGCTTCTATCACGTCCTGTAAGCTTGTTGACCCCTATCTGCGGAATGGCGGAACTGACCCTCTTCTTTAGGGTGGAAGATCGGAGTGTTCGCTATGTGGCGGAGGAGAATATCGAACTCATCCTGCCGCATGTCAGCGAACTGCCCGAGAGCCTGATGACCATTGCCGGGAAGCACTTTAAGCGATGGGATGAAGATGCCAGGACATTTGTGAGCAATGTGCGCGATGAATATCCGGAGGACTGAAAGCAATAAATTCAATAATAATACATCTTTTTACACGCGGTATACTTCCCAATCCATCATCCATTTAGGGCTGCCAACCCGGCAAAGGCGGTGTGGATCTGCCCGCCGTAAAAAAAATCCCTTCCCCATTGATCCTCACTCCTTCACAATCTCAAGCAACACACACATTTACCCCATCATGGGCCTCCAGAAGAAGTCCCGCAAGTATGCTCAAGTTAAGAGAGCCATCACATTGCGTGATAATCGCCTGTGCGTCATTCTTCGCCGGCCTTTTCCCCTCTTCAGATTGCCTGACTGACTCGGACCCCCAGAAAGGAAAATCAGAAGACGGACAAGAAAGGTAAATCTGAGAAGGATGATCTGGTCAGAGAAGCGTAGGTGTTTCGGTCCTTGCTGTTGCTGCTGTTAGCTCACACCATCGCAGTCCTCAAGCCCCGTCATCCCTTTTCTTCCAATTCAACACGGCTCTCGCCCCCCGTACTCGGTCCTTGTCGATACCAACTTCATCTCTCACACCATCCAGCACAAACTGGAAGTTATCCCGACCATGATGGATTGCCTTTATGCCAAGTGCATTCCGATTGTCACTGATTGTGTGCTCGCCGAATTGGAAAAACTCGGTCCGAAATATCGATTGGCCTTGCGTGTTGCCAAAGATCCACGCTTCGAGAGGGTTAAGTGTGACCACAAAGGGACATATGCGGATGATTGTCTTGTTGACCGAGTCATCAAACACCGCGTGTATATTGTGGCGACGAATGATCGTGATCTCAAGAGACGGATCCGGTATGTCAACGTAGCGTTTCCAACAAGATCTATTTTCTGACATCTCCAACAGGAAAATCCCTGGTGCTCCAATCATGAGTGTTGCACGGGGAAAGTATCTCATTGAGCGACTCCCAGATGCCCCGGAGAAGTGAAGGATTGCTGCCCGAGATCACTACTCATTCCAGGCGGCTATCATATCCCACCATTGGTTTGAGGCCACCCGAGTCCACCATCAAACGTCCCAGTACCCCATATAATGGACTTTCCGGCAGACATAGGGTCTGTGCCCACTATAAGCATGTCTAGGCAGGATCTATACCGCAGTCAACGGTCGCCAAGCTCGGAAACCGCCCCCTTCCGCTCGATTGCATAGCAGCTACGATCAAACAGCATATGATGGTGTAGGGTGTCAGACCATTGGTCTTGGAATGGATTCGGGCTTCTTGGTGATTGTGTGGAGTGCTTTAGGAGACGAGCGACTGTCTTATCTATCGTTACGCATCTATCTTTGAGCTGGCGTTACCATTCGATGGACAATACACATCTAAGCATCGCAGAGGAACCGCGGGTCTGGGTGGGTTTCCCGGCGCGCTTATAGCAGAGTACTGGGTTTGTACATCAGAGCTGTTCGCCCTTTGTTTGTGATATGTCAGTCCGGGATTTGTCGGCGCAGAGTTGAATTCTGCCAGAAGTTGATATAGCAAGAACCTCTTTTGCACCGTATTTTTTCCCCTGAGGTGTCCTTTCAACAGTACGTATGGAACATGCAACCCACCAGACGATGGACTAGGTCCTGGTCAGAGAAACTTCCAACCATCTCGTGCCGTGATCGGGCCAGAATATGGAGCGGCGGTAAGTCGGCGAGCAGGGACTTGGTGGAAGAGTCCCGCGTTGTCATCTCCAGGAGCTGCCTAAGGATACGGAGCGAATACAGCACGGCCTGGATCTGGGCAAGGAGGTGATGGTCCACCCATTCGGCTCTTTGGGCCATAAAGCCTCGCACCAGGAATCTCTCCAAGCTCGCCGCACTGGGAGCCGTCGAAGAGGCGGAGGTGTGCTGGTAGATATCCGACAAAGCAAAAAGCGCCCAAAAACTTAAAGGGGACAGGCCGTTGCCAAACACAGACCGGGCCAAGCTCAAGCGCTTTCGCAAAAGATCCAGGTCCGAGTCAACTGTCTTCGCACCGGCAAGAGTAATCTGATCCGCCACAATTCGCCCACCTCGTCGAACATATTCACAGACAACTGTAAATCGATTGGAAGACGGACGTGACAGATTGAAAAGAGAGTAACCCAGAGACCGATAGAACCGACCCTCTTCCCATGCACACCGTCTGGCATGATCCTCGTTCAGGATGCCCAGGTAGACGTGTGGTTGGTCCATTGTGCAGTAAGTCTCAGGAAGCTCGTACTGCCAAAACAATTCAGATACTCGAGGATCCAGAAATTTACCAGTCCTAGAAGACGATAGGCCGAGGTCGTGCTGGTATTCTTGGAGAAATTCATGATAGCTATTCGGTAGTGACTGAGCTCCCAAATCGTCCTTGGACTTTCGGATAAGTTCCGGTAAATGCAGGTGGGGGTTTTTCTTCAACTCGTAGGCGAACCGTTGGACACTCGGCATTCCCAATCGACCAGCGAGAGAATGTGGGCATAATCTCAGCCCTTGAATATCGGACTCAACCATCTCCCAGGTGGCCCCCGGCATGTGTACTGAGTCTAGGAAGACCACGGAGCCATGGGGGCCCAGGTCGTGGAGCAAAAGGTCGGAATCATTTGTCAAGATTGCGGCCCCCGTTTGTTTGGATACGAAGGCGCACATGGCATCGGCTTCCCCGGGAGCCATCACTGTGATGTCAGCCCACGGGTGCTCTCCGAAGTCCGCTAGATGACAAGGGAGTTCGCCATGGAGATCCGCAATGCTGCCCTTGGTCCAGCGACACAGGAGGTCCTCATAAACCGCCGAGACCATGAATGGATTCTCGGGGATGTTCTTCCATCGAGTTGGCACACTCCGGCTCCGCCAGAGCTGGGCCGACTGGATCGAGGCCTCTCCGCAGGACTCTGACCCAGAAGAACGGAGGTCTGTGCGACGAAACAATTCCAAGCGGTGCCTCGACTTTTCGAGCCGCGCAAGCCGGATCTCTCGTTTCGACATGGGCAACGCGCCATCGAAGCATATCCCGTGCCTTGGGGCGGATCAGACTGAGATGGTGAGAGGGAATTGAGAACTTACACCTGCACGCCCAGTTTGGCCAATTGAAGTAGATAGCCCAGCACGCCGATACTGACCTGGTGGCAGGTCGGTTGGACGGCGAGCACATCGGTGCTTGGCTCGGACCAGGCTAGGAGGCGCAGGTAGACCTGGTACACCAGACTGGGTCCATCGATCACCACATCCTGCACCGATGGACACTCAGAGTCCGACACGCCCAACACGACCGGGTCAGCATAGGGGAGCAGGTGCTTCGTCAGGTAGGGAATGCCCATAATTCGGACACATACACACACACAGACAGAGAGAGAGAGATTTAAAAAACTATGAAAGATCCACTCCAAGAGATTCTTAGTCAGGATTTAGCTACTATGTACTGTACAGGCTATATCTATACACATCGGTTCTATGAACGGGCGGAACGCAGGAAGCCCACCACGCCGCGACAGTATCCCACCAGGTCGGCCAGTCGCTTTCCTTCCTGCCGCTGCTCCTGCGTCCACGAAGCCAGAGCTGCCTGCAGAAGGCGATACTCAGGCTCATCTCGGTGAGAGCTCAGCGACACAGTATCAGCGTGGATCTTGAGAAATACGGCCATCCAGGCATTGACCAATTCAAAGTCTCGCCGGAGCTTCAAACGCCCAGTTAAAGCGACGACAAAATCGACCAGTTCGGAATGGCTATCGCGCGCCCGAGGATCCAATGAGCGGATCTCCAGGTCCGCTTTGGCCGGAGGTAGAGCTTTGAGATGCTCAATGAAGGGATCGAAGTTGCCAGATTGCCGACCAGAATTTAGTAGCGTCGAGAAGGGAGAGTTCGAGAGGCCAGTCTGAGTAGCGGCCTGCAACTTGGCAACCCGAGAACGCTCTGCCTCGGCGCTGGTGGCCAGCGAACCCAACTCAGCAGCCTCGTTGCTTCCATTAGTGAGCTCGGAGCTGTTTGTACCCAAGAGAGAGGGGAGGAAGAAGGGTGCCTTTTCAGGCGCCTTGGGGGCCTCCTTCGGCCGATTTCGTTCCTGTGATTCGGGTCAGAATGAATTGTCGTCCACACAAGAGGAAAGATGCATACCCTGATGGAGTCTAGATGAAGCAGTGCCTGCCATCGACTCTTGGGGACAAGACTGAGAGTCATCATGTCGTGGCGAAGTTGCTCAGTCGTCAACACTGGACCTTCTGTTTCGATCTGCTCAGGAACATCGGAAAAGGCAGCTTCAACAGGTCCCGCGCCGCTTTCCCCAGATGTAGTGGGGATGATGACATCCTGGATAGCGCTTTCTTCAATGTTTCTGGTGGAAACAGGCATGAATAGGCTGCGGTTGCTCCACAAGCTAACACCAATATCACCAGCATGTGCAGTAGCTAGAAACTCTCCGGTAGATGGCATGGCGAGCCGGACACAGGTGCTGGACACCCGGAAAATGTCAATTAGATGACCTGTAGGCAGATCCCAGATTCGAATCACCGAGTCCATGGAAGCCGCGATCATCCACCGCCCGTCATTCGAGAATATAAAGTCATTGACTTGGCCGACACATCCCCAGAACTCTCGGACGAGCTTGCGGGTTTCAAGATCAATCACGCGGATCGAAAGATCGTCACAACTGAAGGCGACAAGCTCGCTTCCCTTGCTGTAACGAAGACCAGTGACGGCAGCCATGGGGTGCCAATCTAACTCGTCAATTAATGTACCGGAGAGGAGATCCCAAAACTAAAATGTAAGAGTTAGTCATGTATACGCGATGAAGGAGATGATAGCGATACCTTGACTTTGCCATCCAGACTGCAGCTGACGACGGTTCGATTCAGACTGTCAATCATCAACCCTGTCACCGCTTTGGTATGCTTTGCATTGCTGGCCCTGGGGTTGACCCTCACACCACGGGATTTCAGTGCCCGAGGTGGGTAACTCTGGCGATATTGCCCGGACTGCATGTTGAACAGATCGATACAACCACCTGCCGACCCAACAAGAGCAAAAGTTCCACACTGCGACATCGCAACACTCTGTGATTCTTCATTAGTGCCCATTCTTCTTAGAAGACTATACTGCACACATACCTTGACCTCGGTGCGATCGCCAGTCTCAAAAGTCCATCGCCCAGCTCTCTTCTTTCCCCAGAACCAGGTCCTCGCGAGCTTGTCACCTCGGTGGCCGGTGACGACGCTTTCCCAACCAGTGGCATTGGAAGCATCGGTGCTGGTGGACTTGGGGTTGGACCAGATCGGGCCTGATGTTGCAGTGCCCATTCCACCGTCGCGGTTGAGAGAGCACGCGATGCAAGTCACCTCTGGAGCTTTGAGACTGTCTAGCGGCATGGAGTTGGAGTTGCCCGCGGACCCTATCTGTTTGGCCTTGCGTTCCACACTGCCTTGAGAGAGTTCGGCATGCTGGCTGTCTTTGCGGAGGCTGAGGCCCCAGAGGCTACAATCCTTACTAGCGCTGAGCAGCCATTTACCCCCGGACTCGGATCCGTCGGAAGATGCGGGCAAGAAGTCCAGAGCACTGACAGCAGCGGAGTGTCCGCTTCGTCTATGGAGAGGTCTGGGGACTGGCGAAAATGGAGTCTCGTCAAAGATCCAAGTGCGCAAAGAATTATCGCTCCCCGATGATACGAGGACCGGTTGTCCGTCCAGGAACTCAATGCGATTGACGCCCTGGTCCAGTTCCGCGCCAGAGATGCGGTGTGCACCACGGAGGATACCCGCGACACGGCCCCCATCGTTCAAGTCCCACATGGTGATATCGCCACTACCACTAGCTGTGGTAGCCATGACACCTGATTTCCGGCCATCATGACCGGCACCTAGACCGTCACTCCGAAATGTAATCGACGTCACTGGTGGAGCCTGAGACGATGGGGTTCTCAGGGACAAGACCAACTGTCCGGAATCAACATTCTGGATCGACAGAGCACCACTCTTGTGGGCAACGGCAATCAGGGACAAGGCAGGGGTCGGATGGACGGCAGTCACAGGCCCGGGATCAGGGTATGCTGGAAGCAGTGAATGGAGTAACTTGCCCGTCCGGAGATTCCATATGTCGATGGCCCCATCACATCGTCCAACAAAGACCTTGTTGAGATACGTCGGCATATTACAGAGGACCCCGGTGTAAATCAGGTTTCCCGAGAAACCTTCGATCTGTCGGGGTCGCAGGCTTGCATAATGCTCATAGGTTTCCGTTTTCCACACCTCAATACCTTCTGCCCAACAGCCGACCACCCACGACCCAAACACAACCAATTGCTGGATGGGCTCATTGAGAGCCGGAGGGTCTTCGAGAGATGCCAGTTTCTTTCCACGCTTAAATACCCACACTCCACCTGGTGCTCCTGGCCGAGGGTGACCCCAAGCAGCGAAAACACGGTCCTGCCATGCACAGGTTGCCGTGATCACGCCGGGGGTTTGCGGCCGGCTTAGAAAGACCAGATTCAGGCCTCGGCGTAAGTCATATGTTTGGAGAGAATGACCCACGGAGGTGGTGATTTGGAAGGTGGATTTCCCTAGACGAATACTTGTGAATGGGACCGCAGTCGGGGACACAAGGCCTAACGTCTTCGCGCGACTTGATTAGCTCGAGGACGACTGTAGGCCAATTGATTCGTTGAACATACTCGGAATGGAGAGAAGATCTTGGATCCATGTTGGAGACGATGGCCATATTGATTTTCAGACCGCTTTTGCCTCTTTGCAAGAGGCAAATCGAAGGTCTCGTTGACCACGGAGGGCATGGTTCTGGTGCTGGTGATACGGGGAAACGAAAGATGATCTTCTCTTCTTTTTTTTCTTGGGCAGTACCTTGACCGCCTTGTCGGAAGGCGGTCTGTCTCCGCGGATTATTCTGCCGGTTGTTGTTTGTTGATCCTACGTACAAAACTAACTACAACATTATGGTGGTCACTGTCCTCCCTTCGGGCTGCGGCCTTTGTGGCAAGCAAAAAGGTATTTCTCGGTACGCAAGTTGAAAAATGAAGTATTACTGCGCCAGCGACCATCAATCGACTCACTGTCCATAAATCCGCGTGCAGCTTCAGCCGAAGGCACTTGGAGGACATGGAGAGAGAAGAGCAGACCCTACGCAACCATCTAGGGAGTTTGATTATGGAGGCGAACCCTTCACTACCGGTGTCGGCTACTTTCGGGGCCTGGCCGACACGCGCGATTATATGCGGGCTCGGCTCGGGCTGGCGGATGTAGGAGCCCGGCTGGTCCACTTTATGGATATGCTACGGGTATGTCGGGGCTACAAAATGGGGGTCCTGGATCGAGAGCCGTCGCTCATGCCACGTATGAATAGGGACCAGGAATGCTACGATTTTGTGAAGTGGTTTGCCCCTGATCAGCCACGCTTCCAAAGATGGCGGGAGAGACACCGATCTGCCGTTCTCGATATCAAAAATGCTGACGTGTTGGAGTCGGTGGATTACTTATTCGGCAGTTTCCCAGCCTCAGCCATGTATTTATCGTTGCCTCCTCAAGCCAAAAAAACTGGTTTAATCTGCTAAAACTGGAGCAGTCGGCCTCCATCCTTGGTGCAAAAGTGCCTCGGGAAATTCTCGATCTGATCCAGCAACCTGTGCCACGGGTCGCTGTTATTTCTTCCAACCGCGATCTCATGACGGATACTACTCGACCGGCAGAAATCAAAAGTTGAGGGCACAGATTGAGTCTCAGTTTGCGGGGGATTAGCAAGGTGAACAAGCACTTTTTGGCCAGCTCTGCTGAATCCGTATCATCGCTTGATGACCGAGCCGATGGCATACGCGAGGAACAGTGTGGAAGAGGTACAATCGGCATTGCAGTTGAGCTATGACGCCTGGGTAGAGATTCCAGGAGCCATTGAGTTGATCAAGGCCAAGTTTGACCAGGCCCTCTCTTGCTGTATGTACCTATCAAGATCATAGAAAACACGCGGAGACGGGTTTTTTAAGCTATGATTCACTGATTACCTATCACAGAACTGGGTTAAATGTGGACGAATTAAACGGGATACCAGGGAGTTAAGCAACTCCGTATCGACATTTGATTTCCGACAAAGGTTGCCTCGCTGGACAAGAACGTACAAACACGTCCTCATTGCCCCCCTCGAAACATTTTCAGTGTAGTCCGGGAGTTCCTCTCCAACTACAGAATTTCCAGTTGGATTTTCAATTCACGTGTCAATTCCGTCTAAATTAGGTTCTGGTACAGCGATGACTTAGATACCTCTGCCACCCAAAGCGGCCACGGCTTCACAGCCCCTTGACCCGTTGTTGTGCCGGTGTCGTGCGCTTCCCGCTCGGTAAAGACCTGTACCTCAGTGCCCAGACTAAGTGCCTGTCGTTGTACTCTGGCATTCTGAGCCGTGTAGACGCTATTGAAGATTACCATTTCGAGGCTATTTGATGTTGCCACGAAGCCATGTCCACGCATCAATGCCACGGGATGCTTGGGCATACCTGGAGCACCGTCACCTAGTGATCGGGCAAGTGCGGATGCTAACTTCACATTTTTCACCAGCATATCCTGGTTGTCGTCTGGATGATCCTTGTATACCGATGCGGTATCCCAGACAGGGACGGCAGTACCCAAAAATCCGGCCATGTGGAAACAGGCCCGAAGTGGCGTGGCCGAGATAGAAAATGGAACCACTTCAAGCGAATGCGAGTGCACGACCGCCTGGACACCTTGGTAGGCCTTGTAAACTTCAGAGTGGATGAACCGCTCGGAGAATCCTATACGGTCAAGTCAGATCATTATTTGGCCAATCTGAGGGGACTTACTGACCTCTTGGAGCATCTGTAGCAGCCGGCTGGCCATCTTCAATCCGGTAGATGACTAGATCGTCCACTGACGCCACAAGCGCAGGGGCGAGATATCTCGACATCAAGAAAGTTGATGTAGATAGTCGGACCGAGAGGTGTCCATAGGCATCAACTAGCCCATGGTGATGCAGGATATGGCAGCCATCGATATACTTGCGGAGTAACTCTTTTGGTAGTTGGCTGAGTGTCACTAGTTTTGAATCATCCATCCCGATATTGATTATTGGAAGAGAACGGCGAGCAGGTCTGATCAGGTATGTGGTAGCAAGATCCAACTGGGGTGGGACTCTGTAGAGGGAATACTGAAGGATGAGCGGCAGTTCGGGGATAATTATTGCCGTTCTCTGGCTTACACTATTGCACGGTGATTTGCAGATCCGGGGAGATAAGAGATTAGAATGCTGGGGCGGAATATTTCAGGACACCAACCAACTTTTTTCACCCAGAATCGCCTGATGGTTCACTCTGTAGTGCGCAACCATATAGTGTTGTTGGCTCTCTCTTTTAGAGTACTTACGGCTGCGCCATTTGTCGAGATCGGGGCCTAGTCCCGCCAGTTCCCGTCAATGGTTGAAAGGAGTGCAGCGTGCAGCTGATGGATCTCCATGCACTAGTACATACATACAGTGGTCCCACTCAAGGCGAAGCTAGAGAGTTTTGTCGTAATGATCTTTTGGTCTTAACGAGTGATACTACTGCGAGGAATGCGCCTACAGCACAGACTACCCTACTGAGTAGGCAGGGTACAGGCAAATTGTTGGTACGCCTCAAGGGCCAACTTAGGCATATTATCGGGATGACGGTTCTCCTTCCTAGTGGGCCATTAGGCCGTAACATTTCCCATATGACTATACATAGTGAAACATTGAGAAACCTATGGCTTATTATACGTGATGCGGATTTGCCCTATTTTTTGAAGAATTTAGCTGATAATCAAGGTAAAGATTTAATTATTTAAGATCGAACTAGAGAGTGTTTCTACTAATTAATACGACTCAATACTTATCGTATTCATTAATATTCCCACGACGCTTCCGATCCATTTATAGACTATAGGCAACGGATGTTTGGCTTAATCATTCTCTTCCCAGTCTTCTAGAATGTCCATGTTAGCCGTATTAGATTCATATTTAGCTTCGATAATTAGCTTTAGCAGCGTAATAGTCAATCTTAAATAGCTATTATATTTAAAAAGCCTTATTGATAGTAATAGATATCCTAAGCTAGGCGAGATATACGTCTACTCCTACGCTAGTAAGTATTTAGTATAAGCTATAGTAAAGGTTTATATAAATCTTGAGCTTATCCGACTAAGTTGTCTTTAGTTAGGGTAGTACTTTAGTCTATCCTTTACTTAAAGACCTTTAAAACTATTATTGCTATATATTAAGACTTTACCTCTCTATGGCGGTTAGGCATTAGGCTATTATCTCAAATAATCCTTAAGATTGTCATACAGACCTCATTCTAACCCGTTAAGACATAATTTACTTTTAGTTTTAAAGTACTATACTGTGTATTAGAGGTAGAGAAACGATAGGTATCCAAAGCTACTACTTCTGTAAGGAAGGGCTAGCTTTAAAGGAAGAGAACCATTAAAGACTAACATAAGTGGTGACAGATCATAAAATAACATATTAGCCTACTATTACTATATTTCAATTAATTAATTATTTAAAAATTCATATCTACTGGTCAAGTCTTAGTGGTAATAATTAGTGTATCTACACTACATAGTTCAAACTCTAGTAAAGGTAAAACTCATATGAACCTACAATATGTTGACCAAATAGGGCCGCTATCTAATCTTATGCGCATACATATGACATATGACTATTTTCTAAATCTCGTAGCGTTAAATAGCTCCCCTCTATGCTTATAGTATTAACATAATTAATAATTATAGCCTTTTGACTTGGTATCTGTTAGGCTTAGCCTTTTATATACCAAAAGATTCATATTCATCCATTCATTTAATATGTTTTATCAAGAAGGTAACTGCTTCTAGTGTAGAGTTTGGATCAAAGCCCACGAAGAAAATATTTTCGGACCAAGTATTAGCCGAATGGCTTTGGGCAAGGCGATTTCCGATACACGACCACGAACGATGCATTTTATCTTCGTATTTCCAGTCAACCGGGCAGTGGCACCGTTGTTCCGGATCTGATGCCGTATCTAGATGGTGACAGGGTTACTGTTGTGGGTGGCTCAATGCACGGCACTGTTGTTGATGCAAAGACCAATGATGATGGCCACCTCGCTCTTGATGTTCCGAGTGAGGTGGCCATGGTAGATATCTATATCATAGATCAGGCTTTGATGCTATATAGCGATTTTAAAAACCCCAAATAGCTATCTATATAGTATTATCCTTCTCATTGTCTTACTAATCTTAGAAAATAATATAATTGTGATTGAAGATTGTAATAGACTTTCACTTCTTCTATAAAAATCTTCAAACTAGAGAGAGAAGACAAAGGGAAAGCAGACCGTTAAATATACAAGTAAGGAAATTAGGTCTACTTTGGCACGTATATAGATGTTTAGTTAAACTAGTATCATATCTAATTCGTATAGCATAAAATTCTTATATCGGCCGACCTAGTTTCTAGGCCTAGATGGAGCCTTAGGGCTATCTAGCAGGCTAATAATAAAGCTAACATACATACTTTGATCATAAATATTAAACTAGGGTAGCTGTTCTTCTAAATAGGCTTATTATCTAAAATAGGCCTCCGTAGACGAAAAGTAGCTCTATCAGGTAATAAATATCTTTTCTGCTTATAAATCTACTATCTCGACTATCTAAGAGTTCTAATAGGGTGTCTTCTCTGAAATGCCCTTATTATCCAGCGTCTACTAAATCCTATAAGTAAATATTGGCTCTTCAACCATAGAATAATTTGAATATATAGGAGATAATTTATGCTGGCTAAATATAAAGCTAGATGAGATACCTATCAACGATTAACCTTATCTACACTATTCGTTAGACTATATGAGTATAAAGTTTCGATATATTAGAGAAGATAATCCCTAAATACTCCTCTAAAGAATTATCAATAAGATACAGGTATATTGAAGATTAATCGCTATCTATGAATGATATTATTAAGGACATTTAATATCTAACTACAGGATTGGGCTCATTGATCATGCTATGAATATGGACAATTTTCTAAATCATAATGGGAGATAACTAATTTACTAATAAACGACCTAGTTCTTCTCTACTAGATTCTCGTAACTAGTTAGTATTAAGGAAAATTAGGACGACGATCAGGGTGAGAGATGGGGTAAGCTCTGATGTACCCGCCCGCTGTAGCCGGACCCTCACCGCTCTCGCTGCTGAGGGCCAAGATCAGTCTAACGGGCATTCAGTTTAATAGTCATTTCTTACCCCCCAATATTTCTACCTAGTATTAAATAACTAACCAGCACGATATCCAAATTTAGTCCTGAAGTCGAGGCAAGAAATGCTGATGCTTTGAGCGCGTATTATGATCGTGGCAAGCCAAAACTCTCCCCCCTAGGCCAAGAATTTGACATTCCCTACAAACAGTTGTAGGGACACCTTTAGGGCCGCCAATCTCGTTCGGCTCCTATAGGACCAAATAGGGCACTTGACGAGGGCCAAGAGCAGGCATTAATTGCCTAAATACGTTTACTTGACCGTGCCAATCTCTCACCTCTTCCGTACGAGATTGAGTACGCTGCAAATGACATTTTGACGCGTAGTGGTTCCGATCGACGCGTTAGCAATAGTTGAGTATATCGTTTCATAAAACGCCTCCTTAAATCCTTTAAATTTCAAACCCAAAAAACTATCGAAGCGAAGAGGTTAGACGCTAAGAGACTACTAACAATAATTGAGTGGTTTCACAGATTGGTTAATGAGATAGAAGCTATCAAAGTCGGACCGAGCAATATCTACAACGTCGACGAAACCAGCTTCTAACTCGGCCAAGTAAAATCTTAGAACGTTGTGACTAAGTTTCCAGATAGGTTAAGAATGTCCTAACTAGTGGCATATGGGAGTTAGTGATAGCAATTAAGTGTAGTTAACTGTTATCGTAGTAAATGGTTAGGTAATGCCTCTAATGATTCTATTCGTAGGCATAGTCTATTTTAAGAGCTAGTATCGATATCAGAAAAATTTTCTAGAAGACTATGCATACTATTACGATATCCCAACAGGCTATAATAATAAAGTAAGGAATTATATTATTTTAGGGGGGAAGCCTAACAAATTTTTAAATTTAGGTATATGTATACTAATAGCTTCAAATTTTTAACGACTATATAAAACCACGGCTTCTATATCGCACGCACTATCGATTATTGATTCTTAATAGCTATACCCCCTATATAACGTACGGTTTCATGAACTTTTGTTAATAGAATCGGATGCTCCTATACTATTTCCCTTCTAATCTTACTATCTTCAACCTCTCAATTCTAAGACTTTCCTCGTATATGAGCACTACTATCGGAAGGAGAATAATTGGACTAAACGGTAGGGTAGATTAGTCACAGATAAGAGGGATTTTCTACGTAAAATCTATGTTTAAATGTAGACTTTCATAACTTTAACTATACGGTATGCCTTCAAACACTACGGACTTTAGCCCTTCGATCCTAAGGTCGTTTGCTAAGAGCTTCGACTAGATAATAGGCTAGATCTAGTCGTCCATAATAGGGGCGAGGAATATGAACTTCTAGAGTAGGATTTCAATTATAGTCGTCAAGGGAAAGGAGAAGTTAAAGGGGGAAGTCGAAGGGGATCTAGAAACACTAGAAATACTACCCCCCGCTTCAAGTTCTACAATCAAATCCCCACTAACAGCTATCGCAAAATTATAAGAAAAAAATACCGCAAAGGCAATGGAGAGCTTCCTAGATAATGCTATCCCGAATTAAATAAAATAAAGTGTCGGGTTAAGCGGATTCAGGAGGAAAGTCTTCTATAGGCCTAGCTAGCGGCTTAGGTATGTACCGATCTTATACGCTACTAAGAGAATTAGGAATTAGTTAATGCTGAAAAGTCTAAGGCCTAGTCATCGAAATGGGGTGCTCTACGAGTCAGGGACTCGAATATCCTCATCCGGAATAGGGATATCGTGAAGGGTGAGTAACAGGCGGAAGTATGAACGTGAAGCTAAACAGTTAGGAGATTAAATGAACGCCGCACCGAAATTAGGGAGCAAGAAAATCAGAGAAGAGAGGCAGAGCTTGAATCGGTCAATAGAGATGACGGCTAGCCACTTTATTCTATCGATAGACCCGGGGGGTGAGGGGGGACTTCCATTAAACTGAGTGTGAAGGCCCTCACCGGAGAGAGCGGTAAGGGCCCGACTTCTAGGGGGCGGGTATTTGGGTTATTTAGGGGAAATGGAAAATGATTATTATATTGGGTTCCCATACAAAAAGTCAACATTATCATAAGACTGAAATTTCATTAAACTATGAGGACCCACAACCGCGCAGCGTTGGAGGTCCGACTTTACGGACGGATTAGGTTTTTACATGAATTAATTTCTATAAGGCTCTATGACCATGTAATTTTGCACATAAGTCTTACTATAAAGAATAGAATAACCACTTAAGATAGAAACCTACTACTCTGGTAAAGAAGACTTAAAATAGTACTGAAATGGTATAACCGGCCTTTTTAAAAAATTGTAATTTATGAAAGGCCCCGGTTAGATAGGAAAGAGGTAATAGAGCGACTTAGTATAAGATAAAGATATACTAAATCTTAATGGAATTTGCATACGACAATAGTTCGTTTAGGCTTATAAATAAAAATAATAAGGTAAATATAATAAGTAGGTCATATAATATTACGTGCTTTAATGGATTATATAGATTGAATATATGGAGGAATATTATCTTTTTGATTTCAAAGCTATGCTACGACAATCTTTATAGCCTCCTACTACTCGGTAATACTACATATCTAATATTATAAAATAATAATACTTAACCTAGTCTCTATGTCTTATAGAACGGTATTTATAATGAATAGATAATTATTTTTCCTAGTTAGCGATGATAGGTACCTAAATTAGATAATATCTAAAAATACCTTCTTTTAGACTATAACCGATACCAAATATATAATGGTAGAGTAAGCCGCTCCTTGCCTAATGGGCTACAATTATTGCAATTATAGACGTTCTATATAGACATCATTACAACTATATAAAAATCAAGGCCTTATAGGTATATTGTAGGGCTAATTTACATACAATTTCTCAATATTTTCTTTTCTAGGTTTTAAGAATGTCTTATTTACTATGTAACCGGGCCTTGCATTTATTACATCAAATTCCAGGCCCTCGTAACGAGGGCCCGCCACCCCAAATTGAAAGATTTACCCACTGTACGATTTCAACCATCAATTATGAAACTAACACACAGGAAATATAGATTATTTGCATAGTGTATAGATGTAGTAGAAACAGGACTTAGGTATAGCTAAGAATTTCACTTCTGACGACATTTCTTAGCCCTCTTAAGCTTCCTGATTTGACTAATACCTTTTAAGATCTACTTCCGCTTTCACTTCTCGTAATTAGCTTTCTCGCTACGCTTATACTCTTTTCGCTTCATTTCTTTGATAGAATCTGATGATATGATTGATACCTATAATCTGCATAGTCTGACGACTAATATTATAGCGAGCGTGGCGGGTTGCCATAATAGCTTCTATCCGATCGAATCCCCCCTACAATTTGTAGGCTAATGTAGCCTATGCTTTAGCTCCTTTCACAAGCTTATCTAATGCCTCTTGGAAGCGATTTGAATTACGATTATAGAACCTAATACGGTCGCTTGTACGCCTAACTTTATTAGCTGTTTTCAGAGTGCTGGATTCCGTTTGTTGTGAGGTTATTGATAGTAGTGTGTTAGATCGAAGCGGTGTACCAGCATAGGTTATATGACGTCAAATCCTCTGTAATTAATTCAAAGCTAAGCTTTACCATATGGGGACGAAAGGTTTTAGCCCGAATTTCGCCGATTGTATAGAGGAGTTCATCCTTTGTAAAATTCAAGCATCTAGTTATAGTCAAACGCTATAATTGCCTCACTATACTAGTGTTTATAAACGCTAAAAACACCAACTTCGAGAGAGAATAAGATATGACTTATATGGGGTAGTAAGACGAATAGATTCTTCTCATAAAATCAGATGAGCTAACGCGATGAATGTGACCTAAAGTGATCGTATAGAATAATCTGCTTTGCCCTACTATACGACTGATTGTCTACTTATAGGATAGCTAAACCTATTAGTAGGCTAATTAGTCATCCATATAGGTTAACGTTAGTTAACTATGTGGCCGGATGTCAGATCAAGAAAGAAAATCAATAAAGAATTCAATTTGAGTACGTAGTCGACGGGAGATCCAAGTTGAGAAAGGGAAGAAGAGACCGAAGAAGAGTCTCTACTTATCTACAACAGTCTATGTCCTGTGTCACCTGTCAAACGCAGTCTTCAAACGCAGTGATGCCAAACGCGGTCCCGTCAAGCGCAGACCCGTCGAGCGCGGTCCCGTCATGCGCAGTCCCGTTAAGATCCCATCAAGTGTGGTCACAAACTAGTCAGTATTAGTAAGGGCAATATGCTCATTATCCTAAATAGCATTAGCCTAACATACTCACGCCTGTTTAGCACTAAGGATAATAAGTAGTAGGAAAACTATTAGTGGAAACGGCTTCTAAAATAGTCACAGATTCGCGATTTGTCACAGATCTATTTAACATCTTCTTCTTAGGCTCTCTTATGATGATGAATTAGTCTCGTCTGACCCTAATTTGGAAGCCTGTTTCATTAAATTTGTGAATATCCTTAGGGAGAAGCCCGCTCTGCTTCGCAACGCGTTTATAGTCTTCAAACTATCTCTCAGCCATAGTTCTATCCAATGTAGCACTCCTTTCGACATCAAAAGGCCTCTCCTACGTCGCCGGTAGTATTAGGAATGTCGTTTTAAAAAAGTGTTTGAGCCAACGGTCGCCGATCGTAGGAGGATTAGTTAAGGCGTCCGAATAGGCTTTTTCGAGAACCAATTGGCTACAATACTAATTTACCTTCGATCTATCAATGCTGTCACTTCATCAAAGTAGTAAATATAGTCACATAAAGCCCTTTCTTATGCAGTATAACTTTAGCTTCCGACCATTGGGTGATCTTTAAAATAGCGGCTTTCCTCTATACCATCTCCGGCGAAGCCGACCATTAAGAACCGCGAATGTTCGCGCAGTTTTCGCGATATGTGGATTTTTTTTTTGCTAGGATAGTGATTCCATAGCTTAATTGTTTAAGCCTCAATGTCTTGATTTGTTTTGGGCATTTTTATGAGGGTGGTTGATAGAAGAAGTGGGGCTAGGGTTTGGGAAATTCTTTCATTTGGGTGATCCCTTAAGATATATATATTCGTCGCATATACATCTGTCCTTTTTAGTAATGCAGTAGCATAATTTTTTTAATTTTGATTTTGATTAGTTTATACTATTTATTACACACATTGATAGCTTCATACCAATAATCAAGTAAAATTAACATATGTTGTTGAGATAAAGAGTTACGAAAATAATGAATGTATTTACTATGGTATTCTGAGGTGGCGCGCTCGCTTGTGGATTACATTAGCTTGATTCCTTAACTCTATATATAGCCTCCTATCTACCAAGGCTCATTATATAGGCTATGGGCTTAGTCCTTTCTTACACTTTAGTTTTTATACTACGCGTTCTATATGCAAAGTACGGTTTTCCTCCATAAGAATTGCTATGATATACATCGCAAGCTTGCATGCCTTAACATTTTGATTAAACACCCTATCTATAAACGTAGGGGAACTCTATAATCGACGACTAATTAGGGCCTTGACTAATAGAGCTATTCAATCTAATTTTCTAGGATCTGTAGGTGTTTGAGGGCTCTATGTGCTTGATCAGCTGTCTAGTCGACTACCTAAAGGGGTAGGTGTCCGAAGTCGAACATTACGCTTGTCCATGGCTGTAGCGAGATAATATAGTACTAAAATAGCCACTTCAACAGTATTTTGGATAGTTAATGGTTTAAATGCTACTTTATGGGCCTATAGGAATATTGTAATAGACAAGATCAAGCTTATCGATATAGTTGACTCCTACTCGGGCTTTAGCCCCAATTACCCCTCTATATACACGCTTTAGATGGCAAAATAGCCTACATCCAAAGACTATAATAGGTATAATGAATATAGAGGCATATAAATTGTAATAATATCCCTTTCAGACCATAGTTCAGAGCATGATCGATCAAAGCCAGGCATTAAATGACTATTATAGCCGACTAGAATAAGTGGTCGGACTTAGTACGACTAGTATAAAGGATCGTCATCCCCTTCCGCTTATCAAAGAGATAGTATAGAATATAAGCTACCTGTATGGTTCATAAAGCTCAATGTCATGGTAGTATTCCATATGAGTTGTATAAAGCCAAGAGAGGAATCAAAAATCGCCTTTCATACGTAGTATGGCCTTTTCAAACAGATAGTTACCCCTGTCGGCTTATAGGAGCACCTATCACCTTCCAGAGACATATTGTCTAAGTACTACAAGAGTACCTACACGACTTCGTCTTAGCGTACGTTAATAATAATACTATTATCTGATGGCCGGTCGACTCAGGGGAGGCCGTCGGACGTCACAGCGGAGACCTGGAGAGAGATCATGGAAAGGAAACGAACGGGTAGTGAAGTTGTATTGATCATGATTCATGATCTCCCAGAAGGGAAATCCTATCTATCTACGGCGGTGGGCGCTGACACCTCAGGCACCCACCCATCATTATCTACTTATATAGATCCCTTATAGATTGTCGTAGGAAAATAGGATAGGCCCTTTAGAAACTCTAGGATGTACGACTTTAGTATAATTTTAAGTCTAAATTCGAGAAATCGGAAGTTTAATATCTTATTCATTATATGCGTAGGGGAAAACCTCTATACTGACCCTAAAAAGGTTAATGTGATACGTGCGTAGGAGAGGAGTCCTTTATGCAACTTAAGAAGTAGGAAGTTTTATTAGGTTCGCGAATTTCTATTAATCGCCCCCTAAAGTCGGACTCGGACCCAAAACGCTGCGCAGCGTTGGGTCCTCCCTAATAATGAAAATTTTTCTTCTACCTACCAACTTCTGAAGATATTTAAAATGCTATCCCCTATCTGTCTATAGGATAAAGTGGCTAACCATCAGATATCTCTGTTAACCTGTTTAAGCTCCCCTGCTCTCCCCCGATTTTCCTGATCCCTAATTTCTGTGACCACACTTGATGGGATCTTAACGGGACTGCGCATGACGGGACCGCGTTTGGCATCACTGCGTTTGAAGACTGCGTTTGACAGGTGACACAGGACATAGACTGTTGTAGATACGTATCTCCAGACTGACTGACTCTTCTTCGGTCTCTTCTTCCCTTTCTCAACTTGGATCTCCCCTGGACTACGTACTCAAATTGAATTCTTTATTGATTTTCTTTCTTGATCTGACATCCGGTCACAATTTCCGCCTAGCAGATAATTTTAGCCTACTTCTATTTAGCCTCTTCCTACCTCTCGTCTTTGTTTCTCCGTCTATAGTATCCTAGGACTATATAAGGGTCTTTGGAGTCCCGCATATAAAAGACATTAACGCGGTCTATTATAGATAGTTTTTTTGTGTCTATAGAAAAAGGTATGTACGTTTATAAACGTCAACAGGCGGCCTCTCGATTCCTAATTTTGCATGAAATTTTTATATAACTCGCCAATTTATCTCTCTATTTCGTACTATTATCTCAGTCTAAACGCTTAGAACTATCACGTGCTTTACCTTTCTATTAATTTTTTTTTTTACGAAATATATTTGTTCACTAGATCTTTTGCTACTTAATTGATTAATTGTAGAAGCAAACAAGTATATTCTTCTTAATCTCAGGGGTAGTAGTTAAGGTTTGTATAGTGAAAATAGAAAAGATTATAATTCTCTCTATATACCTATTGATGCTTTCTGCTAGAGATTCTTCTTTTATACTTCATCTGTCTAAACTACGTCGTTTAAGCCCATTTCTAATATATTTATATTGTTTATACTATGTTCTATCTATATACATTCTTTCGATCTTTATATGTAATTAATTGCATAGTTAGGGTATAAGGGCTTAGACCAAAGACGGACTTGGGCAAAATTTGAATTCTATAGATTTTTTTGGTTTTGTGGGTTGGGGGGGGGGGGGGGGGGGGTGTTATGTAAAGAGTAAAGACAGCTGCTCATTCTATAATAATTTTTCTCCTTATTATTTTCGCGTTACTAAAGTATTCCTTTTATCCTCTTTCACCTTATCTCTTTATAATAATAATATCGGCCCTTCTCTATATGATTACTTTCCCTTCGAATACTCTGAAAGCTAGTCTACTACGCCCACTACTTATAAGCTACCCCACTATCGATTAAGTGCATTATACCCAACGGGGAATAATAATAGGCGCTTTAATCTAACATCTCCAAGATTAAGTTTATCAAATAGTGGCTTATAATTTAATATACGATAAAGCATAAGAGGAGAGAGCGTCCTTCTTGGGCAAAAGGGGCTGGCTATATGTCTAAATTATAACGCTACTTTACTGCAATTCTAAAGGAGTATTAGATTGTCAATGGAACTAAAGCTTTTACTATTAATAATGCATTAAATAATGGTATAAGAATCGCAAACCGAGGAAGGGACCGTCAATATGCCGGTTTTATCTAATTTCTATATATAGCGCAAATTAATTAATTAGTTTAGCCTAAACTGGCTACTTAGAGAGAAAAGGAAACCCTTAAATAATACTCTAGTCATATTTCAGACTGAAAAACATAGTAAAACCGCTAAGTAGAGATCTAACCAGTAAGATATTATAAACACTTTGAATAAGCCCCGTGATCTTGCGGTTTTTATTAACACGAGCCGTAGAGAAGAGAGAACTTAAGGAATTTTTGGCCTTTGAGCAAAAGTTAGTTTCAGTCGAAGATATCCGGATAAGATAAAACTCTCCTATCTAATGCGCTATGGGCTACAAGGCTTTTAATCTAAGCTGGATAAGTAAAGCCATTTATAAAGGTCTAGTATATAATGCTAAATTTAGATAAATAGCGACAGATTAACTATCTTCTTTGTCTTATACTAGTACACAATCTAGAACAATATCGCTTTAGAAGTGTAATAGATTAGAATAGTAGTTAAATGACTGTTATAACTACCTAGAGTAAGTAGTTGCAATTTAACCCTTATGTGACTACTAGCTTTTAGGAAAAATAAATTTCTAGCTATTAAAGCCTAATTTTCTCTATAGTCCTCCTATTAGGACTAATTTCAATTTGCTAATACTTAGGTAAATTATTATACCATGTATATTATTAGTATAATAACGGTCTAAAGACTATTATTTGGGGGGAGGGAAATCCCGTCATATCTACATGTTTAATTGATATAACCTATTCGCCGTTCCGTAGTCGTAGGATTAACCTCTAATCGTACTATTCGACTCTTATAATGACTTGGCGGTCAGGTATACTATAAAGCCTATATCGTCAAAATTGTAGATATCCTCTAATTAGATACTACTGTTATTAATTATACGCTGTGTAAGCTTCAACTATGGTAAAATAGTATGTATATCTTCAGTAATAGACTAAGATTTCTAGCCTACGTATAAAGATTGAGTAGTTTTAAGATATAATAGCTCAGACCTATAGTAAAATAATTATTTAATCTTAATTCAAGTTTATATTACTTGTTATAGATATAATATTATACTAAGTAAAAGATCTAGGAGGCTAACGTGACCTTAATACCTTTCTTTATTTGTAAGCCTAAACAAACGAAAGTCGTGTCCTAAAGCTTAATAAAATCATTATATCTTTTATCTTATACTAAGTC